TCATTCATCAAAATGAAAAAATAAATACATATGTGTTTTGCATATGACAGTATGTTTTTATCTACAACGTTGTTTTTTTTCTTTTTATTCTAGAGAGACTAGTGATATTATGTCGTTTACCCGTCGAATTGATTCATCAGATTTTTACTTATCTTTCAGCACGTGAAATAGTTCATGCTTTTTATAATGTAGTTGGCTATATTAATGGGTGGTGTGGATTTGGGTGGGAATATCGCTGTAGATAAAAGAAAAGTAAAATATCCACACTCATATCCACATCCACCCACACCCTCAAGATAACCTTCTTGGGCTAAGTTACAGCTTCAAGAAATCTGACTGGCTTACATAAACAAACTTTAACGATTTTTAATTAGCCTATAATCCTTTTTTTTCCGAAAAGGGAATAATTTTGTTTATCATGTATGCTTGTTAAAAATGGTTTAAAAGAATGTTAGTACATTTAAAAATCTATCAATTTTCCGTAGTTGCAGTGAAATTTTAAAGAAGAATCTTTGAAAACTATGTTTAGTGTTCTTGATTATACAACAATGGAAATTTATTTATTTTTTAATCATGAATACAACAACAAAAGAGTAAAATATAATAAGGTGTTCATCATTTAAACGAAAAATGTTCTATTTAATGAAGAATGTTATAATTGTTCTAGCTATATTAACTACAAGTCCAATAATTGCTAATATACATGATACACCAAAACTAATATACCTGGACTTTCAGCTTCAATAATGAGACTAATTGCAAGTGAAACTTCAATGATTCCATTAATAAGAGTTGCTACAGCAAGAACTTTAGCCAAAATAGATATATTTTTCTTTAAATTTTCTATAATAAATATAAATGATAATATAGATATAATAGATGATGGAGATGAAATGCAAATTATTGCCATTAAATGCACGTAGCGCCATTGATTTATCATCAACTTTTATTGGTAAATTCACACATATAGATTTACCTCTTTGCAACAGACATCTTTTCCATAATCCATATGTGATTGACCCTAATTGATCAGCTTGCTTTGTCCTAAGTATAAAAACACAGAATTTCATAAGTGATATCTTTCTATTTAACGATTAGTTTCTTGAGGGTGTGGGTGTGTTCTAGTTATATTGCCTACGCTCACACTCACACCTATTCTAGTTTCAGCCAAAAAAGTGGGTTAATTGATCAGAGTTTTTTTTCAATCCTACGCGCTGAGATGTTTTTCTAAACATAATTTTAGCCGGAAAATCCAAGATGATAAAGCCGAATGCAACTAAAGCAAGTAGTAATCCGTGCCGTCTATCGATAGCTGTTCGGAACACAATGATTTTTATTCAAGATAGTATCGCTAATTGTCCTTTATAATACACAGCAGTTGGCACGGTCTATAAAATAACATCATGATAATCTGTATCAACATGTATTAGATAAGCCTGAAGAAACCCCATTGGATTATGAAACGAACAGACTACATCGATATATTTTCTCTTGTTACCCTCATTCTCACCCTAACCGCTCTTATCCTCAACCTCCCACATTTGGTGCATACTTTTAAATGTTGACTGTGTTGTTCGAGAAATCAGTGTATATTTTTTTGTCAAATCGATTTCCCAGTGTAGTACATGAAACTGTATCTATCAGGCAGTATACCAAGTTTTTATAGAGTTTTATTTAAAAGAAAAAAATCCGCAACACTATACAAACAATTTATGTTTGTCAGCCACTTTATTTTACTTTTTTTGTAAGCTTAATTCGTATGTACATAGAATGGGTGTCGGTGTGGGTGTGGTTGTGGGTGGATGTGGGTGGGTGTGGGTGTGGGTGGGTGTGGGTGTGGATGTGGGTGGGTGTGGGTGTGGGTGTGGGTGTGGGTGTGGGTGTGGGTGTGGGTGGGGGTGTGGGTGGGTGTGGCTGTGGGTAATTTTTTATCGTTTCATTCTCAGCCTTACCCACAGTCACTCACGCACCCACACTCTCAATTCATGAAGATTCGCTTTTTCCCGTGTATATTAGTCTGTTTCATATTACTTTATCACGGTGAATTATTTGTAATCCAATAAAAATAAGAAATTTATTTTTTACAATCTTTTTTTATGATGCAAATAAATCTCTGTCATCATTTACAGACTACTATACTTCTTTTTTCTTTTTCTTTACCTTTGCGTTTTTTTCTTGTCACATGTTTTGATAGTTTCGATAGTTTATTGCTTTTTACAGTGCTTCTTATTGATATTTGGAATGATAAATTTACTTTTAGTTTCTTCTTGCCTATTCGAAATGGTGAGGGTGAGTGAAGTTGTTTAAGAGAAGAATTTTGTGAGCAGTGTCAAATATCTCTGTTTGTAAAAATGTATCATTTAAGCAGCAGAAATCTACACATGGATCACATATTTATATTGTCTCATTAAAAGTATTTTATTGTTTATTTAATCTATTGACATAGATCATTACTTCATATTAACTGTCCAATACATTTTAATGGAAGAATCACATTTACTCAATCTTCCTGTGGAATTACTTCATCATGTTTTTGATTTCTGTGATGCTCAAACAATTCTATGTAACATCAGTAGTATTTGTAAGAAGCTTCATTCTATTGTGAATAATTATGATCGACTTCAACTTACGCTTGATATTCACAAATATAGAACAAGCAAACGAAGTATTCTTGACCACGTTTTATATAATCGCGTAGTCTCATTAACGACTTGGTGGAATGCTTGCTCAGAAGAGCTTGAGGGTGAGAAGGTGTGGGTGTAGATGTTTACTAACGGAAGAGACATCAACATCTACACCCATACCCATACCCACACTCACACCCCACCTACCCTCAAGAGGGTGATGGTGCATATAAGATAATCACCCTTACCCTAACTCTCACCTGCAGCCACACACTCACACTCCTCACCTCACATTCTCACCTACCCCTACCCTTACACCAACCCACTCACCCTCCAGATGCGAGATTATGTATGAAATCTATTCATGCAGCTACTCGCATGGACTATTCTTGCGTCTTTGTACAAAACATATTAATTGCATGGAAATGACAAAGTGTTACCTGTGTGTATTTGCAAGGTAACTAGATATTCTCTAAATTCTGCATATCAACGCAAAAAGGTGTATTTATGAAAGCTGATACTGAATCAATTCTGCGTTGACATGCAAAATTTGACTATTTTATTGTATACATGCTGCGTCGTGCAAGAATTTAGTTTTATTTATCGAATGTATTTATTTAGTTTCATAAAAATGGCATGCTTCTCGTATAACTATACTATACCTACTCAAAAAATCTGCTTCATTTTTTTAAAATTCTTTATTGCTGTTATTCTTCATGCACATACATGTCTAGTAGTTATCGGACGATCATTATATTCTTCAATTTCGATTATAATTTCTAATGTAAGTAAATGGCCAGATGGTGAAAGAGCTCGCCTTATAAAATAAAATAAGTATACTCGAATCTCATCTCTGGAAAAAATCTTCTGCGTATTGATGCATATTCGCAACACGTACTTCTAGGGATGTGCAGTGTCAGTGAAAATACTGAAAAACTGACACTTAAAATATCAGTTCGGTGTCCACCGTGCCACTGAAAATATCAGTGTCAGTGTTCACTGAACACCGAAGGTATCCGCTTCTAAAATATTTTTGTGTTAAACCCTATTATTTACAACAATATATCAGTGTGTTCACCGAAAAACTGGCACGGTGAGCACCGAACACCGAAAATAAGTGTTCGGTGGACACTGACACCGGTATTGTCAGTGCCACGGTGGGCACCAACCACTTATATTCGGTGTTCGGTGAACACTGACACCGACATTTTCAGTGGCACGGTGAGCACCGAATACCGAATATAAGTGTCGGTGAAAATCGTTGTCAGTGAAATTCAGTGCTCAGTAAACCGACACTGCACATCCCTACGTATTTCATTTGTTGGAGCATTATAATATTGTCTTGTATGTTCTTTCAAGCGAAAATACAAAGCGTGTATATGCGCAAACTTCCATGCGTACACTCGTGAATATAGTAAACTGTGTTACGTGTTCACACGCATGCTGTATCATAATGATCTATGCGTGTGTACGTAACGATAATACTGCGTCTACATGCTCATTTTTTAGATTTTTACGTTTAAATGGGAAGTTCGTTACAATCCAATATTTTTTTTATAGCGCAGCGTGTTGATAGTAGCGCACTTTGATTCAAACGTTTGGCTCACTTCCTGCGGCCTATGATATCTGGGTGTCTGCTGGTCTATTTCATATAGTATAATCTAAGAGGAAGTGTATATTACCAAGCCTTGAAAACGGAAACAAAAGTTTGCCAGATCTATAATTTTGGAATATATTTTTCTCGCAGAAACATGTAAAGAATCGTTCACCCAATACCTTTTTAGGTTTAGTAGAACAAAAAATAATTCCTCACATAAAATACAAAACCTTGTGAGTTTTAAACGAAATGCTTGAGATTCGTTACGGAACTTATAAGATTGTCTATGAAACTTTAAACGGTTGGTGTTTTATATACGGAACTATTCTCCATTCTACTAAACCTGAAAAGATTTGGTATACAGAATGTCATGTGCGTCCGCAGAAAGAATGTAAAAATGTTTTGTAGCTATGCCGAATCTTTTTTTTTGTCGTTTTGAAAGCTTCGTAATACTTCTTTTAGAGTTTAGTATCCCTTTATAACGAACAAAAATAAACCTTTTTACAAACCCTTATTTCACAAGTTTTTTTTAAGAGGGTGGGTGGATGTGGGTGTGGGTAGCTGTTCTTTCAGGCCGCACCCACACCCACACCCTATTTTTTCTAATTAGACCAGTTTGATTTCACAGCATCTCTTGTGTGTTCAGACTCCGACTAATATAGACAAGTTTTTATAGATCATTACATAATAGTCACGTTTAGACTTGGAGAAAATATCATAACTGACTTCAAAAAATTACCAAAATGGGTAGTGGCTGCTGTAAAGGGTTAAAGGACAGCGTGATGCATCCTTTTGATAGTATAAACAATAGCTTAAAAGAAAACTACACTACCATTGAAAGTTTGACTATCGTTCAAAGCGAACCAAACGAACTGACCCAATCTTCTGGTGGTATGGATAATAGATCAATAAGTGTTACAAACGAAAGCAAGAGTTCTCACGTAATTTTCGAATCGAAAGAAGCTGTGGAGGATGTTATAATAGTTTTATTCTATGATGATAGCCTATATTCAACCAGTCTTCAACAGTTAACAGAACAATTGTTCGCTCCAAATGTGAAAGCATTCTGCAATATCGAACTTTTTCTTCTTTACATGAAATGGGTCGTAAATGAAAGAATATTGCTTATTATTCCTCGTTATTATCTTGGGAAATTTAAAGTAATTTATTGTTTAAGAAATATTGATTCTATTATTGTATACCAAGCAGGTGATGATCAAAATGATAGGTTTTTCTATGCGTTTCCTAAAATATATAAAATATTTCAGAAACAACAACACCTACAACTGATTACTAATAGTATTAAAGAACAAGTTCAGACAATTTATAGAAATTTACTAGAAATCAGTGTATTTGATTTGAAACAAAATTCAGCTGTTCAACTAACGAAAGAATCAGCGTCGTTTTTGTGGTACTTGACGATCACCAGTGCATTTAACGAAATGGATTCAATCAAACACATAGCACATGAATATAATAAAATGATACAGATTTGTAAAAAAATGTACTTAAATAGTCAATTGCAAGTGGAAAATATCGAAAAATTTGGTCGGTCATACACTGCATCTACAGCTCTTAACTGGTATAAAAATGAAAACTGTACTGTCAGCAAAATTTTAAAAAAAGCGTTAAGAATCAAGAATATGTATGTTCTTTATTCATTAAAACCTTTTCTTCTTGATTTAATCAATCATATAAAAACAATCGAGCAACAAGTTACATCTGAAATGTTCGTATATTGTGGTATGAAAATGACTTCAAAAGAAATTAACCGTTTCATTAACCAATCTCAAGCTATTTTGATCTGCATTAACGGGTTTTTAGTGACAACGTCAGATTTAGATTCCGTACTTAGTTACTTACAAGCTAACACAAGTCATACAACTCATTTGAAGCCAGTGATAGTTGAAATAAGGATCCATGATCACGACCGTGTTGCTTGTGTAAATGAAAATAACAAGAACGAGATATGGTTTAACTTAGGAACAGTTTTCCGAATCGAAGGTGTTACTATGAATACCGAGTCAAAAATATCAAAAATTCATTTATCGATAGCAACAAAAGACGGTTTTAACTGTTTACTAAATTATACAGGATTGACGAGGCATGAATTTGAAGATACAAATATGATTATAATTTTTGGTAGACTTTTATTTAGTATGGAGCAATACCGCAAAGCTCACGAATACTATCATTTATTACTTGATCAATATAGCGATACTATGGATTCAAATCTGCAAGCTAATATACATCGTAATATTGGCCACATCTATTTAGCAAGAGATAATATACGAGCAGCTTTGACTCATTATAACAATGCAGTCAATCTTTTTAATAACTCAGATGATACCGCTAGGCAGCATTTTGCAAAAATATTAATTGACATTTCAAAAATATATTCCACGTGTGATCAGTATGAAAATGGTATAGATGTACCGACTGACTACATTACTTTATATGCAAAGAGAGGTATCAAAATATTATTTGAAAACAAGCATACTATTGATAAATCAATAACTAATCGAAAATTCGAATATTACGGTTATTTGTATAGTGATCAGTCAATGTATTCACTACATTTCTTTCAACTGCAGTTAGAAATGTACCAAAAAAACAACGAATTTTCACATACTGCTGATATTTTGGAACAAATTGGAATGATTTATTTTAAACAAAATGATTATAAGCAAGCAGTTCACTATTTCGATCGCGCATTGCAAATTAATTTCGTAATATTGCCCTCAAATCATCCAAAGCTCTTACACATTCTTCGCTTGCTTGCTGCAAATATGAAAAACATTGAAGGAAATTATCACATTTATTTGGCATACCTTAAAAAAATACTGGAAATTGAGCGCGAGATAAATCCAGAAGATCATATCAAAGCGTTTTTATCATCTAATTGCCCTATCGATCCGAGCGTCGCCAGTGATAATGAAAAACTTCACTTGTACGACAACGGACATATGGAAACAAAATTCAACTCATCTATTTGGTTTCGAGATTTCGATACTGCAAACTGTTTACATGCATTTGCGACTGAATATTTCAAGGCATGTGATTTCACCGCAGCCTTGGAATTAATAAAAACAAGTCTGGAAATTGAGCAAGAATTAGTTTCATTCCCGGATAAAAATGTTGCCACTAAACTTGAAGACATTAGTATGATATTGGCTGGGCAGGAAAATTATGTCGAAGCAAAATATTATTTGATGAAGTCCCGAAGTCACTTAACAAGAATATATCCTGAAGATCACGCACAAATACAAATAAACGACAAACTAGTTTCTCGTATTAATTATTTGCACAAATACAAGCAGAATATGTTACAAAGATTATTTGAAATTCAAAATACCGAACGAACTCTTTTGGGAGTGACATATCATGCTAGATTTTCGGCATTGACTTCAGAAGATGAAGAAGATATACCGGGGGATTTAACATATCTACGAATAGAAGAAGAAGAAGACATGCATTTAGCTTTTGAGCGAAAACAGGCCGTTATTTGGATTGATGAAAATCAGAATTCGACAGAGAAAAAAAACGTTTTTTGCTAGCATCGAAGCATTCGAAATTACAAATCTGAATCTATTTAACAACATCACAATGGCCATTGAGTTCATGAAAAACACACCTTTTAAACATTACCAATTAGCTGTAGAGAAAAAGCTAGCTGATGAGTTCTTTGAAATGCAAAAAAGGGCAAACCTTCAAGACAATAATTATAATACATTATGTGTATTTGTTTTTGAATGGAACAACAATGAAGAAAAAGAAATGGAACTTGATTCTGAAATGTATGACAAGTATTTATCTTATCTACCATGTAAGAAACAGTGCTGGCAAACGATGATGACGGTATCGGAACGGTGCCTAACTATATCAAATAATCGTACTTTTTTATTTAATTTCTGTACACGCCCAAGCTCAAATGACCATTTTATCGTTATGCTGTTTAATCATACAAAAACCAATGGTTGTTGGATCGAAAATCTAACTTCGCAAGTTGTTACCACAAATTTTGCATTTTTACCCGGTTTTTCCATAACACTGAGTGATCCCAATGATGTCACATGCCCTTCCGATAATCCAATGCAAGGCAAATTCAGAAATTTGGCCAGAAGATTTTTCCGGTCACAAGATGAACAAAAATCTCCACCACTAATACCATCTTCTGCAGGTTTCCAATTTAATCCAGATGATGCTGTACCAGAAATTTTCGAGTATCTGCGGATACCTAGTTTCAGTGGGAAACATGACAAATTTGTCATACAGATCACATCAATAGTATTATTTGGACTGAGAAAAGGATTGTCTGAGAAGTACATTACCGATATATCTCGTATTTTCTTAAGACATAAATGCCGTGATCGTAGTGATCCATCGCTGTATTATAAATCACTCATTCATCTCTGGTCATTAGAACAGCCAGCATTTTATAATTTAATTAACAAAGCATTGGCTGAAGCTAATCAGGATGATTTACATTTGTTACGCTATATTATTTATGATTATTTTATGCTGTTTTGGACGAAGGCTATTCCTTATTATGCTGGTATTTTATACCGAGGCATACATGTACCGGATGAAATTATCAATGAATTATATGAATTTATTGGTAAGACAATATGTTTCACATGCTTTACATCTACAACAAAAAACAGAAGAAGGGCCGATCTGGGTGGTAATGTTTTATTCATAATTGAAACAATATCATCTTACAGACAGGATATAGCGGGAAACAATTCAAATGCAGATATATCAACTATCTCACAATTTCCAGAAGAAGAAGAAGTACTCTATCCACCTTTGACTTCGTTTATATTAATGGACATTCAGAAAGAAAAGGATCTATATGTCATCAGATTAACAGAAGTTAGTGGTTGCTCCCATATGTTAGCGTTTTTTCATGATTTGAACAGACGTCGGACACCAAATAGTGTTTTTACTGGTCTACACTTTTCATATCACACATCATCTTATGGTACATAATTAAACAGAATCCATGAATATATCGTATTTTGAACTGTCTCGCTTCTTGTTTTTCTTATTAAATATCTTAGAGTGCTAATGTATTGTACGTCGTGAGGGTGGTTGTAGGTGTGGGTGTGAGTCAAGCAAAATACGATCTAGATTTCGACCTTGCTTAAGGATCTCGTCAGGTAGTTATGACTGTATAACTATCAAAATGATCGGAAGATCACAGATAAGTTAATTAATCTACATTTTGAACGATAACTTCTTAGAGAAGAAGCATTGAACTCGTAGATATCCATATAATAGGTGTAAGTCAAGCAAACTACGACCCAGATTCCGATCTTGCTTAAGGATCTCGTTAGGCAAATTTGGAATTATATTCTTGCATTGGCGTGTGGGTGTGTATTATGTAAATGAATTCCTAGGACTATTGTTTCGACCTTTTTCAAGGGTCAAATCATCACATAGGAGGTAAAATACAATCTATTAAGAAAATGAAGCTCTCACGACGGTGGATGTGGGTTCGATTATTGACTTGAAAAAATATTCACACCCATACCCACACCCACCTCACACTCAATCTACATTAAAATATTCTTTTATTGAATAAATATGAGAAAAATTGTTTGGACTTTTATTTTAAATTAGAAACAAATCAATTTTCAGTTTTAGTCCAACCATCGTCGATATTATCAATTTTATCAGTAAGATTTAGACATAAAAAAACTCTTTTTCCATTAGTTCTACTACCAAGTAATGTTTTTATTATCAATGAGTCATGACGTTTATATTCATAAAAGCCGATAAGGAGACATTCATTTCTTCTACCAACTTCTATTCAACGGCATGGCAATGGCAAACAACAAAACACAATGTTTTACATGCAAGAAAGAAAAAATAACTTATCCTTGTAAAGGATGTTCAAAAGAATTTTGTTTTACGGACTTAGCAGAACATAAACGAATATTAAATGATGAATTAAATTATATTATTAATAATTATGATCAATTTAAACAAACAATTAATGAACAAAAACAAAACCTACAAAATCAGGCATTAGTAAAACAAATTGATCAATGGGAAATAAATTCAATTGAGAAAATTCAACAAAAAGCACAAGAGTACAGAGAAATCCTCATTAAATCATCACAAACATTTATTAATGATATTGAAACGAAATTTAATAATTTAAGTGAACAAATAAAACAAATCAGTGAAGAAAATGAATTTAACGAAATTAATTTAAATTATTTAACAAATCAATTACGAAAAATTACAGAAGAATTAAATAATCCACCAAATATTCCTATTAAATCACACTCACAATCATTTATTAATGAAATTTCAATTATTTCAACAAGAAGTAAGTTTTTTTTATAAACAATTGTCATTGTTTATAATATTGTGCTGAAAAACTATAAAAACCAAGAAAAATAATGTCCAAAAAAATAAAAAAAATTGAGAATACTACTGATTTATTTAACCCTTTGGGGACCGGTTTAATTTTAAAGGAAACTAAGCTTTTTTATTTTTGTTTTTACTTTCTAAAACACATGAAAAGAGTTTATATTTATTTAAGAACGGCTTAAAGTAAGATATTTTTTAAAATATGCATCGACACATAGACCAACATTAGCGTTTAGTATAATTTTTGAAACTTCATTATCTGACGAATTTTTGCGATGTGCCATTTTTCAATGAGATCGAAAGTAAAATGTTGCGAAGTTGATCCTTTCGAAAATACTTATTGCTTCTATTAGGTAACAGCTAAAGATAGTTGTATGCGATAAACACAGTTCATTTATTATGAAAAGTGAAAGACTATATATTCGTTCTGGACTGGATCAACAAGAACAGCATAGGAAGATCCATATGAGGTAATGGAAGAGAATCGAACTATACATATGATATAAAGGAAGAAAACACGACGTCATGGAAGAATATAGAAGATCGAAAAGTACATATAACATAAGAAAAGAGTACATAATGTAAATTTATGAAAAGAATCGTTAGGACGCACATATGCGTCAGCGGTCCTCAAAGGGTTAATCAATAACAATAAAATTGGTAGAAATAGAATATTGAATTTATTTCTATGTAAAAAAAGAATGATAAAATATGAAATAATATTAAATTAAGAAAAAAATTTCCCCAAAGATTCAAAGAATATGTTTGACTGCGAAAAGCAAGATTGAACAATTTTCCAATCTTTATTTAACAAAAAAAAATCATTGAAATCTTTTATCTTTTCGATTTTTCTTTTCAAAACAAAATATTTCTTCGATTCATTTTACAAAATTTTAATTAGAAAACCACTGACAGATTTTTATTTTTTTTTCTTTTCAAAACGATTTCTTTTTATTTTCCAAATACAAAACTGCAAATTCTTTACGCTCTTTTTCCGTAGAATTTTTTTCAAAATTCAACAAAAATATCAAATACAATCTATCTTTTCATTACACATTTTTATCAGTAATTCATTCAAAACTCAACTTTGACAAAAACAAAATCAAAGTTTTATTTAAAATTAGTCTTTTTTTTTTCTTTTTTTCATTAAAATTTTTATTTTCATCCGTTTCTAGAACCAAAATTCAACAAATGGAAACAGAATGCCATTACTGTGGCTGGTGGGAATGGAGAAGGACAGAAATTAAATCAACTCTCTCTTCCTGGAGGAATCTTTGTTGATAAAAAGAAAAATATTTTCATTGCTGATCTTGACAATCATCGTATTGTTGAATGGAAACATAATGCGAAGGAAGGGCAAAGCATTGCAGGTACAAATAGAGAAGGAAATCGAATGGATCAATTGAATGAGCCAACACATGTTATTGTTAATCAACAAAATCATTCGATCATTATTGCTGATTTTCAAAACAGACGAGTGATGCAATGGTTGAATCAAAGTCAACAAATTCTCATTCAGAATATTGACTGCTATGGCTTGGTAATTGATAAGCATGGATTTCTTTATGTTTCTGATGGTAAGAAAAATGAAGTGAGACGATGGAAAATGGGCGAATACAATGAAGGAATTATAGTGGCAGGTGGAAATGGAAAAGGAGATCAACTTAATCAACTTGATTGCCCTACTTTTATGTTTGTTGATGACGATCAAACTGTTTATGTATCAGATCAAAACAATCATCGTGTGATGAAATGGAGAAAAGATGCTAAACAAGGAAGAATTGTGGCTGGAGGAAATGGTGAAGGAAGAAATTCCAATCAATTGTTTTCGCCTGAAGCAGTAATTGTTGATGATTTTGGTCAAGTTTATGTGGCAGATCATAGGAATCATCGAGTAATGCGTTGGTGTGAAGGAAAAGAAAAAGGTGAAGTTGTTGTCGGTGGCAATGGTAGCGGAAATCAGTCAAATCAATTGAATGGTCCGAACGGTTTATCTTTTGATGATGAAGGAAATCTTTATATTGCTGATCATTTTAATCATCGAATTGAAAAGTTTGAAATAATTTTGTGAATGAAATTTTGGCTTTGAAAAGAAGGAATGAATTGTTTTAATAAAAAAATAACGAAGAAATATCTTTTTGGTTTTTTTTCTTCAAAATTGAATTTAATTTGATAATTTTGATTAAAAAATTTCGAATAAATAAATGTTATATTCTTCATCTTTTGTTGATTTTTGTCGAGTTTTATAAAAGATAGAAAAATATTCTGTAATTTGAATTGGATTAAATAAAAGTGATTCGCAAAGAAGGTTTTATGTTAGATAAAGTTGTATTTGAATATTCTTATTTGATGAAACTAATCAAATATGTAACATGTTACAGCATAAAAATAAAGATACTTCAACGTAGTTTTTTTAATGTATTCACACTTTTTTGAGTGGGAAACCGTAAGAAATAGAATGCCTCTCTAATCAATTGTATTATTCATCAGATTTGAATTTTAGTTGTATTTGCACATAACTATTGTATCGATAGTTACAGAATTTTGATAAATTGACAACTATAGCCGTTAAATATTGTACTCAAAATAGCAAAAAGAAAATATATTCATCATAACCGATCACAGAAATTTGTTAATTTAGTTTATTTTTCAAAACGAAAATTCCATCGAAAAATAAAAAATAAAATTTTTGATTTATCATGATATGTTTTTCATTAATCCATATGTGAAAACATAGAATATGGTTTAAATATATTGTTTTTCTGATTTATCAATGGAATCATTTAGATCACGATGCTGCTCTTTTATAGATTTGATTTCCGAAAGACAACACAAACATGATAAAATAATAATTTATATAACAAAATTGTATTGCTGATTAAACGCATAAGTAGATTTTAATGCTTTAAATTGATCTTGAGCTCATTGCATACTACTAATCTTTTTTCTATATGATTTTAGATATGAACGTGCATAAAATCCAATAAAAAGTGCAATAATGAAAGCCATTGGAAGAGTAATAGGATAACTAAGATCTGATGCAATTTCAAATGCAAATAAAAAATCTACAAGTGTACCGAAACTAAAAAATCTAATTTTAATCATTGGATAAAATACTATTAATGACGCTAGAACAACTTTTATTGCTGAATATTGTCTATCACAAGTTATATGACTAGTTAAACCGTCAAATAAACATGTATAAATAAATTGAGAATTATATTTATAATTAATTATATATATTGGATAATATAAAAGATGTTCTGGTTTTGAATTCATTATTAAATAAAATGAATCAATTCGAGGTTTTTCAAATTTAGAATAAATCTAATTGATAGACGAATAAAAATAATAATATGTAATTCATTTAAAAATTACATAGAAATGAATATGATCATTTTTAACTAACTACTTTTCTGTTCAATTTTGAAATACGACGAACAAATATCTTCATTTATTGTGCTTAGAGAAATTTTACCGTAAAAATAAGGTACTCTCTGTTTAATTAAGGAGATTGATGAAAGTTTAGAAAAAAAGACAATGAATGCGAATAATTGGAATTGATGATCAAGGGTGGATGTGGGTAGATCCGAATAAAGTGACACCCACACCAACCCTCAAAAAGATGCCTGATGCTTCAGTTTATTCGTTTTCTTTACTCAAACAAAACTAATGATTAAACTATTTGATAAACTAAATATCTTAACCTGTAATCAAAAGAGTTTATTCTAATTGAATGAATATATAAGACATGTCAGTTCATTTGTCAATAAAATGATTTATGCGAGCTATTGTAGACGCGGGACGATAAACTTACTTCATGATACTAGAAGTTGAACAGAGTTATCTAAAAAAGTAACTACGCAGTCTTTGACTGAGGATTATTTTTGATATAAACAGAATAAAGAGCTACGGGTTTTGCCGTTCGAAAGAGGCTGTGTCGCTACATAGTTCCGTGTACTACTTTACAACTTCAAGTGATTACAAAATAATCAGTCAGTAATGTTCGGAAAAATAATGATAATTCCATTAATGTGACATCGGGCTGTATGATCGAAAAATTACTCAACAATCTTTAATTACTAATAATTCTTGAGAGTGTGGATGTGGGTGGATGTAGGCGCTAGGTGAATACAACATTCATACCCATATCGATTCACACCCTCAACTTCGTTTTTGTGAAACATAATCTAAAATAAGTATTGAAGAGTCTAAAAGCATAAATTCTCTCTCCCCCACAGACTGTAACAGACGTAACTATGAAAACATTATTCCACATTTTTAATGTCGAAGCGATTGCTGTGAAGGATTTTTTTCTATTCTTTTAAAAATAATCGACAACGTATCTTTTTTTTGTTTCTATTTACGGGACAACGATGGAAGAAAATGAATAGTGTTATTTTGTATCAATAGCTGTTGAAAAATTCATTGTTGTTAAGATTCAGATGAGATTTTCATCGAGAAACAAAATAGTGTTAACAAATTCATCTTCTTTGAAGAAGAATCATTTTGTGTCTTTCAGTTTTAATCTCCTTGGTGTTTCAAATGCATAGTAACACAATTCACAACTTCACAATAAATTACATCGACGACGATTGAGAATGTGTGCACGTCATACTTTTTTTCTTCTGTAGTAGTTATGACGTGCATTACTGTTGAGTAAATAAAAGTAGAAAAAAATTCACACAAATTATACATTGGCTTCTTTGCGTATGAAGTTTCTTTTTCTCTACTCAGGCAACTTTGTCCTAGATTGTGATAAAGCCTAAAATTTTTCAAAAAATATTAATAATCTCGTTTTTTTAGTTAAATAAAAAGCAAATGATTGGTGTTCCTCCAAGTGCAAATGCAATTAAGGTGCCGACAGTTCCAAGTGAGTGTAAAACTTATTGTATTTCTATGCGATAACCATACTAATCTTTGTTTTTAAATATAATAGCTGGATGCTGTAGAAAAGGATTTGATTCAACTTATCCACAACGTCTAAATGGAATAATTACAAAAGATGAATTTGAAGACTCAATTAAAAATATTAATAGAGCAAAATCTTTCAGAATAACTTTAATTATTTGTGCTCTTATTTCTGTTTTAATTATCATGGGAAGTATTGCATTATTTATCGTTAATAGTAAGACAATTGATAGCTCTGGTAAACGAGGATCAACTCAATTAATTGGCATTGGATTAGGAATTCTTGCTGTTGGAATATTGTTTTGGCCAATTTCATTTTTCGTTACACGAATGCTTATTCCATTAATGATGCGACGATCAATTGCTAAAGAATCAAATAAATATTCTTTGCGATCACCAAAACCATGCAGTTGGCGATTGAATGCTGTTAGGTGGTGGGGTGGACGATCTTCGCACGGTCGGAGAAGTGGACTCATTTATAGCGTGAGTATATTTGCTTCGTGCTAAAAGTAATTTAAAAATAACATTAATCTACTTTTAGATATTGATTGATATTGGGAATTCGACAGTTCCTCAATAAACATCAGTTAATTTAGGACAAAATTACTCGTTACCACCTCTGCTATCTCCTGATGAATCAGTTATACAATTTTGCTTCCAGTGTAGAGAATCTCGAAAAAATAAAACAGAAAATTTTTGTGTGTCGTGTGATCAGTCTCTTTAAATATAATAAATCTAATAAACAAAATAATGAGTGACGCATAATGAACGGGTCAAAATGTTTCTCTCTAGGAAGTTTTTGCGCTCTGCAAAACTATCAATCTTGTTCTTTCTCTTCGTTGAGAGAAAACATCACTCACATAATTTACACTGAGGTAAAATATTAAAGATATGAGATCTATACCTTTGATATAAGATTAACTAGTTTACAATGAATGAACAATAAAAGAGGCAAGACATTTTCACAAAGAGGAAAGAGTGAAATCCGCTCATTTGGGTTTTAATGGATTCTTTCGGGTTTCATAGCTTTTAGATCTGAAAGCCCGCATTGAAAGGAGAAAGGTGGGTAATACTATTTTGCTGTCCACATTAGAAATGATTTATTCATATATGACTCCCAGCAGGAATTGCTACTAATTACTTTTTGCCACTGTATTTTACGAAAAAGGACTTTGACTATTTTGGCACCTAGAATCTTCCCCCAGTTATCGTCAGACTAAAATACAAGGGAGAAAGAGCTGATTGAAGTCACCTAAAACTCCAAATTAAATCATTCAAAAGATATTGCCTACCTCAAAAATGGCTGACAACAAGCCGTACAACTGATTTTTATTTTCCATTTAGTTCTGAGGACCTCAAAAATTTTATTTTTAATTACGATGGCCCCCACCAGTCAAGTACTTGATTATATCCGCCAAAAACTAGTTTGTCTAGCCCGGCATTTCCAGGTTTCTATTATTCTTAAGTTTTTATCTCAAGAAAAATAATCTCAGAGAAATTTGCCGCAATGAGCAATTTTGACTATTACTGTGGTTTTGTAAACATCGTTCACTGGCTAGGATAGGTTCGAGTGAGAATGCCATATATTTACCCTTACTCATACACTAGAAACCTTTCACTTCAAGTCTCTTTTTGTGTTTTTATTATATATGAAAATATGTACTGTCTCCAAACATATTTATAAGTTTAACATTCGAGACGATAAATCTAAAAAAGATAATCTCAAAAGATTTCATCAAACTTTTCTACGAATCGTCGATTTTGGGAAAGATTATCTGGTCAATTTCTAGAAATTTTATAGATTCTAATGAATGGCAAGAGTTTTTGTGTTTTATCTACGATTTTTGGATTTCAGAACTCCGCTCTTACTCACTCATTCCTGTCTATTATATATGTTTGGTCTTTTCTTGTCGTTTTCTATGTGCCATAGTTCCATATGTATTATATTTAATAGTATTTTTTCGATCATTCAACTTCGATCATACGTTGGATATTTCATAAAGATTGATGATGATTTTTCATCAATAAAGGTAGAGAGTTAGACACTGAACACCAGTCGATAAGGCTGTAACAGGGCTAAAAGCGAATAAAAGGAAAAGAACAGAAAAAAGTCTGTGATTCACATCGTTTGTATGGAGATTGAAAAAAAACCGAGAAATATTAAATGCAACCATTTTTGTGCTCATTTATTATGGTGAAAATCTTTTTTTATAATTTTTTCCTGCAATTTCAGTCGACTAGAATGTTTTTCTTCTTCTTCACGTAATCCAGCTAACCTTTTTATTATATAGATAATTATCTGTTTGTTCTATCCTTTTTTCTATTCTAATATAACAAAATCACTATTTTCTTGCTAGCAACTTCAAAAAAGCATAGTTCTTATCAATTTTATGAGAGAGAATACATGTTTCCTAGTAGAGAATATTCTTATTTAGTCGTTTAGTTGCGATTTAAAAAATATGATTCTTGTTTGTTTAATTGAGAAATAAAAATAGATTTTTATTCTATTGTTTTTAATTTAGATATATCAATGAATGCTTACTTTTCATATTCGCTTGAGATGTATAAACAGATTCTTTTTATTGTTTAATAAGCATACGGGAAAAGGTTTCAATAAATGGGTGTAGATATCTTTTTTTGCTAAGTGAACCTATTTTAGGTAAAAGATAGATTTGATATACTCGTTTACGATATGTAGGGGATCTTCTAAATCCTCCAGATAGTTATATAAAAGGGTTTATGAAAGTGCAATGTATAATAAATCGTTTACGAATCTCTTATTCTACACAATTTCTACAATGTATCAATAATCAAGAAATCCAGTATAATGGCTACAACTCCAGGAGAATAGCAGGCGAGTAGAAATCCTTCTGGAGTAATCAAGAGATTTTTCTCTCAGGATGTTCTATGTAGCTGTTACTAAGAGCGTCTCTGGATAACCTTTAAAAAGTTATTATTGCTACTCATCGGTAGCTTTTTATATAAGAAAAATGGTAAAATGTGGATCTTGAGGATGTGAATGTGGCTAACACATGAATAAAAGCTGTATAATTATTTTCTACCATCAATCCAGACGTAAATACGATTGTTTCATTGAGAATTTTTATAGTTAATATATAGATTAACTAATGTGAAAGATTGAGAGACTCAAGAGGCTTTAATTGTTTTTTTAATGGAGATAAAAAAAAATATTATTAAAATATCAAGTACTAAACAAAAGACATAATCTTTTCGAGTTCTAATGATTTTAAATAGTATAAAAATATAGAAACAATGTTACAAATGTATAAGTCAGATTTTACTCTAATAAAAGTAGCAGCTATTTATACTACTCGAAAAAATATTACATTATAAATATTCATCTCATATCTAAACAGCTTTTCTACTTCCTACCAATACTTTAGCTGCATTCATGACAAAAGTATGTTATTACATTTTTATCATGCATCGATTACATACATCTATGCGCACAAGCAGTCAACCATAAGATAATATACGCGAGAAATGGTATGCAAAACGAAAGAGTAGACTTCGATCCACATGTAAAAAAAAAGTAGGAAGTAAAAAGGTAAACATTAAACGTGTAGCGAGAAACAAAAAAATAACCGAGTGTACGACTATCATCGACACGATATTATTTTTCAATAGCTGTTTATTACTTAGACTAGAAGGTTTGAAGGTAGGAGAATATTTCTAATTCACAAAATATCCCAACAGATCTGATTGATGCATTACTTGACAAATATTCACAAGTTTTATTAATGATTTATGTAAGAATAATCACTCCGACTAGATACCATACCTCTTTTTTTACCATTTATGTTCGATCACCAGTTACTCAAGAATTGAATCGTACTACCAAATTCCTAGGATGAATTTATCTAATATCTATTAGAATATTGATGAGAAGACACTGATAATGTAAACACATGTTGTATCTATCCCCAAATCTTTAGAAGAATGAAAAAGTCAACACGCAACTTACTTTACAAAAATCTTCGAGTTCATACAGAATCGAATGACGAGAAATTGATTCAACTTTTACTAATGATCTTACTCTGAACATGTGCTCACAATTAATATATAAATAACAAAAGAAATTTGAAAAAAATAAGTAACAATATTTTTTAATTTTTAGTCGTGTTAATATAAGTTTAGTCAAACTTTAATATACCCTATTTGTGTATAACTCATTGTCAAATAAGTGATCTTTAGATAGTAAAAATACTATGTCAGGTTCGAACGATCTTGGTCAATGGTATAAGAGTATACCTCCAATAACTCGTGTTTGGTTTACAGCTTCTATTGTTGTTCCTCTAGCTGTCGCATTACACATAGTTGACGCAGGTCAACTTTTGCTGTATATTTATCCAATTATAAAACATTTCGAAGTATGTTTTCTTCCTATATATATATAATGTTTATTTAACGATTTATATTTCTACTAGATATGGCGATTACTCACAGCTGTACTTGTCCATGGATTAGGTTTGAAATATCTTGTGAAGCTATATTTCCTTTACGAGTATAGTTCACGTCTGGAAACAAGTAAAGTTTCGTGAAAAAAATATTATCTGTGTGCTACTTTATTTTGTTTTTCTTTGAACAGGTACATTTAATGATAGGCCAGCTGATTACGTATTTTGTTTAACATTTCTTTGGCTATGTAATATCATTGTTGGTTTGATTCTTCCCATGCCTGTAAATAAATCTTTCTTTATTTAATTTGAGAAAAATGTTTTTTTTTCTAAAAGGGATTGATGGTTAGTATGGTTATGTGTGTTGTTTATATTTGGTGTCAATTAAATAAAGAAGTAATAATGTCATTTTTCTTCGGTACGCAATTTAAAGCAATGTATATGCCATGGGTTATTTTGTTATTCAATTGGATTGTTAATGGATCGTATGTTCAACTATTTTTCTATATAAAATTTTACATTATTTTATTTAGATTTCAAGAAGATTTTTGTGGTATTGTTATTGGTCATCTTTATTATTTTCTTGTTTTCAAATATCCACGAGATTTTGATGGCGTACGATTATTACAAACACCAAAGTTTCTGTATGTGTATTTTATATATAATTAAAAGAAATATCAGAATTGTGTTTGCAGGTATCGTTATTTCCCAAATAAACGACGAAGTACAAGTGGTTTTGGTACGGCACCAATAAATCGCCAAGAATCGGAAGACACTGAGAGTACTACCGTTCGTAATCGACAAGTATTCGGCGGTCGTGGTCACGTTCTTGGTACTCGTTAATAGCATTTAGTCTTTTTTTTTAATTCTTATAGTTCATTTGAGTTGTGGCAACAAAAAAAGCAACCAGTATTTTTTTCATTTGTTTCTGTTAAATTTAATTCTTAATCTCGTTTACTTTTGACATTTATCGTATCGATTAAAAATCATTTGAATAAAAATATCATCTGAAAATTGATATTTTTTCTTTTTTTGCTCAATAAATTCTACTGAAGGCTATTAGTATAAGAATTTATGCATTATATGATTATCTATCATACAATCGATCAAGACTAAATGACTCTATTCAATCTATAATGTTGATGATGCAAGAGTTTATTAGAACTAAGGTGGGTGTGGGTGGATGTGAGCCTCTTCCTCACTCATACTAACACCACACTTGATATCCACACCCATCCTCAGTACCCTCGGTAAAAAGTCTCAAGAAAAATGACTTCGGGAACGTCTTAGTGTCGTTCATTGATGACAGTTTTCATCTTACATGATGAGACGTATTTTTATCATCAATTACGAGTTTCTCTATGATTTGGAATTCTTATTGCATTTTGTTCATGTGAAGGTGCCACTTGCGTTCGTCGTAGAATGTATTTATACCACCATCTCTTCAGTATTTGAAAAAACTCTTGCCGAAATGATCTGGACGACGTTATAAACAGATAAAATGGCGTCGCACTAAGCATGTTTATAAAAAAATTAGAGAGAAAATTAAGAAATGCTGCTAGTTCAAGTTGTTGAGCATTGTTATTGACTACAGATAATGTTCCTGCGCCATATATGAGATAAGCCGCATAAGGAACTGATGTAAAAATGTTTATCATGAGTTCAACAATTAACATACGCATCAGATCACGATCTTTCTGTCTAAGAAGTGTCTGAGCACCATGAAGCTTATGAAGGCTACGAATAGTGAGAAAACTGAAAATACTCATTAACATTTGCGGCAGAATAGCGACGAGTATGATGAGATAGATAGAATAGAATAACTTGTAAGATCCAAACAACCCACAAACACCAGCACGTAGATCTAAAAAGATTGGGAGATGTAAGCCTACCACTATCCATGTTGTTACCACGATTAATATAAATTTTGATGCCATATGAACCGAACTCAAAGATCGTATACGAGGATTTGTTCGTGTGACATAGAATCGATCAGCACAAGCACATACAATAAGATAACGAACACATTGTCCAAGAACGTGACTGCCATATAATCTCATCTTGCAATAGGCCAATGATTGTGTCTGGAGATCATCTGTATGATCAAGTAAGTAGAGAAATGGAAAAATTGACCAAATAAGATAAAGAATGGCGAAGATTGACATTGATAAAAGGTACATTGAACAGGGTGTATGACGATGCGCAGGTTGTGTAAACACAATGCAATTACACATATTGCCTAGAAGACCCATTCCGAAATAAGTGGTCATGAAATATCGAATCAATATTTCTTGCACATACGATAAAATTGTCTCAGACATCGTTATCGAAAAATGTTGTGCTCTGTAATGAGAGAAGCGACTAATGTCAGTTTCTTATTTGCACTATCTTTCGATGTGTGTTTAAATGAAAGTAGAGAATGGAGAAATGCTTGTGCGTTATCATTCATAGTTGAGTGCTCATTATTTCTTTTTTTTTCTTTTTATCGCGTCGACGTCAAAAGAGCTGCTTATTTATAGAAAACTAGTCGGATAATAATTGATAATTACATATGACACATTCTAATCCTCGCGCATGTGCAACCGAGCAAAAATTGTGCTATTCTAAGCAAACACATAAACAGTGACAAAATTAGCTAGATATACATCGCTTGTCAGCCTACTGTTGTCACACTCATTTATGTTTCTTCATCATTGTACAATTACATGTGCAGAAGTGACAAACACGAGATAGCAACTAGAAAGAAGCACACGTAATGTAATTAGACACACGATAAACGAAACAACTGAAGTTGAACACAATATAAAAAATCTGTTACAAACGATAGAATTGTGACCACACTGTTATCCACTTTGAATTTCAAATAATATCAATATTTTTGTTACTTAGTTTGACAGTTCGATCGATACACAATATTCCATGGCTAAATAACAATTCCATCTTGAAACAAATGTAACTTTTAACAGCATGATTTTTTGATAACTGAATCTCACATATAAATAATTTTATACAGAAATTGAGGGTGTGGGTATGCGTGTCATATCAATCAAATACACTTTAAAATAATGAATTAAAATTAATTTTCTTTTCGTATTTTCTTTTATATTGCAATGCATTATCTGAAATAATGTTTTATATGATTGATAATCCACTGAAGATTCAGTGTATAAAGTTTTCAAAGAGATATCATTTCGATGACAGAAAAAACCTACTCTTACACTAAAGACTAGAAAATATTGGTTATAAATCATTGTATTAAAAGAGACGATAAGCACTTTAAACCATATTAAAGTATTTCTGAATGATACTGTATTCGTGTAAATCCCGTCCCTCATCTGTTCTTTCTTCAACGAACTGTTGTCCTTGGACTATAACAGATGGTACTAGTTGGAGCAAACTAGTAGTGATATTTTTTTTGTCTAAAATCATTTGAATATGGACACGTTTCATTTCAGAACTGGAAAAGCTATTTGCCTCGAAGAATTCTCTAGTGTGTTGACTGATCAATGATAAGCATGCCGTTTTGGTTAATTGAGGAAACGAAAGATCTTTCCAACTACTTTTATTATGATGATAAAGATAGACATTTAGAAAGCGTAGTGAAGGCATGAACTTGATGAGATGACATAAATTAGTGGATTGAATCGCAGCATCGACATGAAAACGCCGCAGAGAACCACTAATCGGCAAATTTGGACACAGGTCGGGTAGGAAAGGCCAATCTCGTAACAGCTGGAGTTCACATATTCGTAATTGTGGCAATTTTAGTATTTCAGTGTAAAGGGATTCTAAGGTAGAATCAGCACTGGAGATAGCACACGAGAGTTTTCAATGTCGTAGATAGAAAAGTCGAGGTAACATAGAAAGTAGTAGATGAAAATTTTTTTGTCGACGTATACAAAGCGAGAGTGAGCGAAGACTTGAGAATGTCCAAGCAGTATCGAGAAAAATAAGGAGATCAGAAGATCCATGGATATTGGCATGCAATGTTTCAAATGCTTCGTGATGAAAGACATTCTGGGCTACGCTTAATTCTTCGCATCTACCTCGTTTTATATTCAAATAAATACGAAGCTGAGGCAAACGACGTAGATCATTGAAAAACGAATTAAGATTCGAAAATGCTCTTTGCAAATCGTACCCTTCGACAAATGAGAAAATTGTAAGCCACAATTCCACAGACAAATTTTCGATAGACAACGCCATTTTTTAATATTTTAACTAACGTCACCACCCTTTTCAGTGATAAAGATGAAACATGTTGTGTAATTACAGGTGAAGAAAAAAACACGTTTTCTTCTTTTCCTTCTCCACCAATATCACCAGATTCATAAAAAAGACCATAGCAATCGTTGTCTTATAAAATTTGTCAGGGCTTTTGTTTTGCAGGTGTTGAAAGACGAGCAAAAAAAAGACCACGATAGTTTTACCATTTATTCAAGATCATTTGATTTATTTTTAATCTTAAATATGAAAATTTAGTTTCTGATTTTAAGTAATAGTGCGAAAATGATATTTATAGTGATCTTTTTATACAATGGATAATCAACTATATAGATTAATATGAGATTATTCACCGTAAAATTTTCAAAGTAGTATAGAAAAATTATTATTTCTATTGATAAACAAAAATTTCAAACAAGATGATAAATACTTAACAAAGAAATAACATTTATACTAAGTAGATTGAAGCATCTGTGAAGTACTTCTTTTCTGAACTGTCACTTTTCCCCCCTTGTCTCACACCTAACTTTCGAAAAGAGTAATACAAAATAGATTTATTTACAAAAGAGTTTTTGTTACATTGAACCAGTACGAAACAACAATGCTTGAAAAGATAAATTTTGATGAACTGGTCAATGAAAACGGTATTTTACTAGTGCAGATATAATATTAAGCTTCCATCATTTTCTGTAAATTGTGTATCGTGCTATTACATAAAGTTTCCAATGTGCTTATAGGAATGACAGGAGAAGATCCACGATATACAATCGTTAATACTCCATTAACAGTATATATCAGCACAAACGGTATTGGTGATCGAATCATATTACTAAACGGAGTCATCGCTTCTAATTTCCATTTTCCGTATTGCTCGCGAAAAGGTAAAACACCCCAATTCGAAATTTCACAGGTTGGAAGATTTTCAAGATTGATTGGACCTATATTTTTTTGATAGAACATTCCCATAAATCTCCCGAGAACAAAAGTTTGACCAGCATCGATTGATGTCTTCACATGATAACCTATAGTCGTAGCAAGTTTCCACATATCCTTCAATGTTGTAGGTACATCTCTTATTGAAAGTTTGAATGTAATGATTTCTGATACTTGATAGCTAAGATCATGAGTGGGAATTGGTGGTATACATCGTCGACGAATATCAGCTGCAAATGCTAAAGTTAGTTGTGTTGTTTGTTCACTAGTAATGCTTATCGATGTAGTAATGGCAGAGAGAATCGCACTACTAATGGCAGAGGTCATCGTTACACTTTCCGATCGACATTTTTCTAACAGTTTTTGTGTCTCTTCCTTGCTCAATGAATTAGAAGAAAATTCTGTGTAACTATATTTCGCCATATCATCCAATGAGAAATTGACATTGACTAAAGGGACTCTTGCTATAGTTTGTGCATTGATCGCACGTCGATTCATAAGTGTGAAGAAGAATTTGCCAAGTATGACTAGATTCGTCCATAGTGAAAGGCTTCTTTGTATAGCAAGTTCTATGGATATTGGCCAGTGCAATGAATTGTCAAAGATATTTGCGTTCTCAGAACTTAAAGCAATGAGAAGTTCATGTGCTAAAGTACTTAAAGATAAACCATCACTAATGCTGTGTTCACATATCAATACAATTTCTCTTGAACTATTTTTCATTTCATCATCGTCTGGATCCTAAATATACAAAGTAAATTTTGAAATTAAACTTTATAGTGTACCTGTAAAAGCCAAAATTCAGCAAGTCCTTCTCCAATGATTGGTATCTGTTTTTCATGCTTATGCCATTGTTCTCGCCAGAAATCGAGGTGTCTATCATGTCTTCTTGGTATCTCTCGGATCTTGAGACGAAGTGTCTCATCTTCTTCCATCAGATACGTATCAGGTTTGGTAGGATTGATTTTTAAACGACTTCGTAGAAATGGATGACGATGTTGAAGATGACCAATAACGGAAGTAAGTGTTTCCAGAGAAATGTATGGACCTTGTAAATGTAGAACTTGACCAAGTCTCATATATCCTTGATGTTGTAATGAAGTTCTTATCAGAGCATTTTCTGCTGGACTAAGAAGCCGTTGTCTTACATCATTAACAGGCAAATCTTGATGAAAATCAGATGACATTTATATTTAATCGATCGACATCAAAAGAAACATCTACTCATGAGATAAAACTATTTATTTGCTTTTTCTTTGTCAAAGAAAACTATTCATGGACGGTGGAGAGATCGAACCAATCGACAGATCGAAAAGAAAGAGGTCAGTACTACTCACATTGTATATTATATTGTTGACTTTATATATTTGAAAAGAACGCGATGAATCTGTATATAGAAAACTAGTTGCAAAAAACAAAAGAAAAGAAAATATTTCAGATTTATCAAAAATATACATGATGAAGCTTTGTATATTTTCTCGATTAAAATCTTGAGGGTGTGCGTGTGAGTAGCTCTTATTTACTCCTATTTACACACCAGAAATTTTGTTTAATTTTGTTTAGTTGACAATATGACTTATGCACTTTTTTCATCTTTATTATCCACTACTTAAATAAAATTGACACAAAAATTCTGATTTGTCTAGAATGTTGTGATCTTACAACTATTAAGAGAATAAAAAATAGGTACTTTAATTAAATAACACTATGCTTTCTTTAAAGATTAAATTCTAAGATTTTTTCGGCATGAAATATTTGACAGAATACTTATCTTCAAGAAGAAAAAACAATAATTTCTTTTGAATCACTTGAATAAATTAGAAAAAAAAAGAAAAGATTAGTATATCAAGAACTTCTAACTTAACTTCTGTTAACATAAACAACATTCATATAATTCAAGATGAACGCAGAATATATTACTTCACTTTATAATACGAGATCACAATTTGGGCGTTATGTTGCTATTCCAATCTTTTTCATTAGTTTGATTAGTGAATTTCTTAGTATTATCGTTTTTCTCAGCTTAAAAACCTTTCGAGAAAACTCCTGTGCATTTTATCTTCTATGTATGTCATTGTTTAATTTTATTCGGTTAATATTCAGTTTATCAGCGGTTACTACATCAATGGCATTTACAATCGATTGGTCATCTGTTATTATTTATTATTGTCAAATTCGAAGTTTTTTTAGTTCAACAGGTACTTTCGGTGCAATAATAATATTATGTTTAGCTATCATTGATCAATATTTTGCAACTTGTACTCGTATACGACGGCAACGGTGGTCAAATATAAAAGTAGCGCATTGTTTAACTCTGATTGTTTCTATTATTTTGACAGCACAGGGAGTATTATATAGTATATATTTTCGACAAATATCTCCAGTAAATACAGCTATTTGTATTTCAGTTAATCATAATTTTCTTCTCTATCATACTTACGGATATTTCCTTGTCTTGGGTAATCTTTTCCCATTAATTGCAGTTATTTTTGGAATAATGGCTTATCGAAATGCTCGAACATTAACAACTCGAGTCAATCCACTTGTTCGACGTGAATTAGATAAACAATTAACAATTATGGTTCTTGTCGAAATTTGTGTTTATGTTTGTACCCAAATACCATATTCAATTACGAATGGATTTATATCATTAAGTACAGATCATGATCCTGTTTTTGTTGCACAATTCAATTTAATTAATGCTATTACACTTACTATTAATATTTTATCAAATGGAGTAAGAAAAATTTGAATCTTAATTTACATAGAAAATAATATTATTTTATTTTATTGTAGAATTCATTCTATACTTATTTTTGTGTATCGAAACGATTTCGTCGACAAGCTAAATATGTCCTATATGATTTTTATATAAATCATAATCGACAAAATCAAGTTCATCCAAATCAACCAGAAGGTCTTGCTATAAATGATATTGAATAATAAATTGCATTTTCAATATTTGTTGTTTTGTGATTCTTTTAACTTGATTTATTCAAGGAAAATTTTATTCCAATTATTTTATTCATTTTGATTTTGTTAAATTAAAATCAACAAATATTTATTTACTTTTTTTGTCCAAAAATAAAAACAAATTTATTTATTTTATTGAAAGAAATTTTATTAATAGTTTGACTGAGCGTCTATCAATACGGCCTAAAAGCGCAGCTTATCAAGGACAGGTGAAAGAGCATCATAGTTGGAAAAAAAACGATGTATTATCTTGCTTCAAAAACGAAATTCTTTCTTACCTTTCAGTAGCAAGCAAAATATGTGACTGAAGTTATTCGTTGTACTTTACTCGTTCTTCAGAAAGATAAGCGACAGGCGTATGACTTCTCACTCGGCCCCTCATCAGAAGCTTTTATTTGCACATTACTTTACTGTTTCGGACTGGTAAGAAAAAAAACAACAATTTAGGCTGGCGCAACGAGCCATAGCTATTATAATTCTCCTAAAGAAGCTGCATTACTTTGCTCCCTAAGATATTAAAGTCAATGTAAGAAAATCTATTGAGTGGGTGAGGGTTGATGTGAGTGTGGGTGCGAAGACTCCACTCTATTAAGCCACACCCATACCCACCCTCAGTTTTCTAAAAAAAAAATAATTATCGTTTTTTTCAGTTTTTGTTTATTATATATAAGATAATGCAAAATGTAAATACATATCAAATAAATTGTAAATTCCAATTGTTACTACATAAAAGCATTCTAGTCTTTTATGAATTTATAAAAATTTAATATTCATATGAAAATCTGAGAATAGATGCCTTCGTTTATTCAACATATAAATATCAGATGAAATATTTAACCATATAATCAACCAATCGATATTTATGTGAACATTTTCTCGAATTCGTTTAACAACATACTTTGAAATTTTAATTGTTTAGTTAAATATTTATATTTATAATCAAAGATACAAGAAATTAGTTTCGTTGTTAGGAAATCAATTTTTTCTCATACATCAAAGTAAAGTAATTTGAGGCTGTGGGTGGGTGAGTGAAGAGAATAACGACACCCACACTTTGATTAAATAGTTACGTATTGTTCATGTTTATTTCTCAAAATAGTTTAACTGTAGTATAAAAAACTGTTATTTTGGAGAACACGAAAGCGTACGGGTGAGTTTCATAGTACGTATCCTTTCACAAATTAAATTCTTAGCACAATTGAAAAGACACTACAGAAATTTATGGATTGACAGCTGTTAGTGCTGTCAGTAGGGTGTCGAGTGTTTGTAGAATGCCACGGTTTTCCGGATAGATTCGCGTTGCAATGGCCACGGCTTGCTTCCAGTGGTGAATAGCTTCATCGATACGACCCATGTCTTTGAGCATTCGCGAGGCGTTGAGGTGGGCCAAAGTGACCGTCTTCCAAGAGATTGGGCTGCTCTGCTGAAGATAAAAGAGACTCTTGGTGTAACAAGTGAATGCCATAGTATAATCTTTCATTTCTTTGTAAATATCGCCCATATTTAAGTAAGATTTTCCAATACTCGCCGAGTCGTGTGATAAGTGTTCGAGGGCATTGGCAAGAAATTTCTCTTCATACTCTAGTGCATCTTTGTACTTCGCTTGGCTACGCAGTACAGTACTAATGCCATTATAATACATGGACAATCGTTCATAATTAATATCAGGCGCTTGCAGCTCTAGAAGCAGTCCTTGCTCATACTTCTGAATGGCATCATCTAATTTCTCCTGTTTGTAAAGAAGAGTAGCAATCGCGAGTAAAGTGACTCGAAATACTGAATCTTCCCCTTTTCCGGATAGTAAGTAAAATTCCAATCCACGCTCGTAAGAAGCAACAGCACCTGGAAGATTGCCGCTCATCGTACGGACATGACCCCTCTTAAGATAATAAAACGACATCGAGTAGTGGTCATTCTCATCACTTTCGTTTAGTAGCCGGTTGAGGATGGCTTCTGCTGCCGAATAATGTTCCATGAGAGTCATCAAGTTGATCAGTTGAAGCATGGTACTAGACCCTTTGATTGACTTCCGTGTATCATGGATAAGTTCTTGTACTCGCTTATTGTTGATGTTCGTTAGACGTAATTTAACAAGTAAGATATCTTCATGACCAGCTAGTTTTTCCACGCTCTCGATGTTGAAGACAGTGTTTATAGAAAACAGATACTCATTCTTAGAGTTTTCGAAATAGCTAAAATCGTCGAGACAGGCGTATGGAGTTGAGACATCCACTGATGGATCAATCGTAATGGAAAAAATCACAGCCGTATCAAACCCATCCTGAAGTATTCGTCGACCATTGCTAAAAGCCACCTCACGATCAGTATTTGCTGAAAGAAACGTGTTGAATGACAGTAATCCACTGGTGCTTGTCTTCAGTTTGTTATAATCATCATAGCTCAAACCTTGACCACGATACACAGTGAAGTCATTGGCTACATCGTCTGCGGTCACACGAATGTTTTTCAGCTGACGATGCAGTTTTTGAATGAAGAAACCCATATGCAATAGATTGGTAACATTTTGAGTATGCAGAGCCTCGTTGAGTAAATCATGTATGTAGCTAGGATAAGTGTACCACCAGATGGGTGAATGTTTTTCATACTCGCGATCAAACTTAATAAGAGTGTTGATGTCCTTGTAGTCAGCTAACTCTTTATAGAAGTCAACAAATCTTGTTTTGGCTGTTTCCTCGGTAAAGTAAGTAGTGAGCAGCAGTTCTTTGAGTATTTGTGTATGGATAAACGAGAGATCAATTGGTAGAATGTCATCATTAATGTTGGTAATCGGAAAGACGTTGATCGAGGTAGGATCGATGTCAATCATACACTCATTCGAGTTACATTGTGCCAAGACATTAGTGATATTAAGTAAAGAAAGAGAGAGAACACAGCACAACCACCGCATTGCTGTTAACTGATTTTTAAAAATGCTCTTTATGCAAACACACGTTCTCTTTTATATGACAAAAATCTTTCGCATTTGGAAATTACCAAGAAAGTTGGCTGACGTTATCAGTTGTGCTGTTCTGTTACATGAAACAAATAATGATGCAACAACAATGAATAATACAGCAACAATGATAATATGAATGTGAGCGTGGGTGGGTATCGGTAAGTGTGGTTGTAGATAATATTTCATCGACTCACTCTCAGTCACACACATCCACACCCACACTCTCAAATCACGAAGCACCGCTTTTTCTCGCGTGAATAAGTCTGTTTCATATCACTTTATCACGGTGAATTATGTGTAATCCATTAACAATAAGAGATTTATTTTTTGCAATCATTTTTTATAGTGCAAATAAATCTCTGTCATCATTTACAGCACTATAGCTGTTTTTTCCTTTTTCTTTATCTTTGGATTTTTTCCTGTCACATGTTTTGATAGTTTCTGTAGTTTATTGCTTTTTACAGCGTCCTTTATTGATATAAGGAATGATAAATTTATTTGTAGTTTCTTTTTGACTATTCAAAATGATGAGAGTGAGTAAAGTTGCTTAAGAGAAGAATTTTGTAAGCAGTATCAGATATCTCTGTTAGTAAAAATGCATCATCTAAGCAACAAAAATCTACACATCAATCATATATTTAAATTGTCTCAGTAAAAGTATTTTATTGTTTATTTAATCTATTGACATAGATCATTACTTTATATTAACTGTCCAATACATTTTGATGGAAGAATCACATTTACTCAATCTTCCTGTGGAATTACTTCATCATGTTTTTGATTTCTGTGATGTTCAAAAAATGCTTTGTAAGATCAGTAGTGTTTGTAAGAAGCTTTATTCTATTGTGAATCAATATTAACGACTTCAAGTTACGCTTGATATCTACAAATATAGAACAAGCAAACGAAGTATTCCTCATCACGTTTTATATAATCGCGTAGTGTCATTAACGACTTGGTGGAAGTGGAATGCTTGTTCAGAAGATCGGAAAAAAGATTTTATTTCAGCATTGCTTCAATGGACACGACTTCGCTATTTGACTCTTCGGTTCGTTGGTGGTACAGATACACAATCTTTGCTCATAAAAACAGGTAATATTAAATTAGTCTCACTCACAACCGATTCAAATAGTGACACAAACAATACAACATTTAGAGTTGTTTTATTATTTACTGAGAAATCAGAACTTCAAAAATTGTCTTGGAAAAACTTTTCTATAACATAGTACTTCATTGCTCTTTTTTCATTTAGAAACCAGCATTGAACTATCGCGTCTGACAAGATTTATTAGTGTATTTTGGATCGTAATGGTTTTGTTTGTGATCTATCGGGCAATTTCCGATTTATGCAGCTACTTTACAACTGGTATGGAATTCAAATCAAAATCAATTTGAAGGTACATGGTACGTTGATACACACAAGTTTACTGGCAAAGGCAATTTTGAATTACGTTTCATGAGAGTTGCTATGCCTTTGTTGAATGACAATTCTGCATGTTAAGAATGAACTAAACAAATTTATAGATCTCATTTAGTCAAGAAGTAAAGTTTTTTTTCTATTCTTCGTTCTGACATTTCTATTGATTATCTTTCTCATTTTTATTGTCTATTGTTATTACATTTCATTTTTCTTTCATTTTATATATATGTCTATATCGTATGAATGTTGTCTTTTTGTATCGACTTTAAAAGGTGTTTTTTTGTTTCATATATGTCATTATATTTATTCTCAGTAAGCCAACCCAGTACATACGTATATGTTGTTATCTCTATTTTTATTATTATTTACAATAAACAAACAGAAATCATCATCAATATGATTTTTTTTGTCTCTCAGATAAATATTTACTGATCGTAAAGTTTCTTATACACTTATAGAAGTAAGATAACGCCTGTCCCTTACATGCACACGCTCGAGATTCAGTAATGCTTGTATGGAATCAATTATTTATTTATTATCTTGTTAATTCTTCTTATGTACATATGATGAATACATTGAAAACAAAATATAATCGATCAATGTCAATGAGAATATCAAAATGAGCTAAAATTGTATCTCTAATAATGTACTAAATTATTATACAAAAGATTCAACCATTCATAAACGTGTAAATAAATCATTTCACATCAGAAATGTTGATTTAATTACCAAATTTCGATGTTTTATTATACTTTTCTATAAAAAAATTAAAAGAATTATTAATACATCAACGAGAAATCGATTATACAATTGTCTATTGAACACAAAGAATGAAAATAGATCATCTTCAAAATTTAGAATAAAATGTCGAGAATCTTGTATTAATAAATACGATTATGTCAGCATCATTTGTAATCGAATTGAGGCTGTTGAATCAGATGAACATTCAATATGGATTATTAAACTTTTTTTATCGCACGAATGGCGCTATGTGGGTCTAGAGAGATCCACATAAAAATATAAGTTAGATAAACTTGATTTTTCATCAATTCTGTACTTTTTATCAAAGCGTGAATATATTAGTATGTCTGTGATGTATAAAAACGATGGTTTTTTTCATGAAAGTTTTTGAAAAAACGTTGTGATAAAGTTTTAATTTTAAAATGTTACTTAATCAACATAATAAAATTGTCAGAAAACTATTTAAGAATGTAAATAGTTTACTATTGGCAGTGTTGTCCTAACGAATCTAGATTCAATAAACTCTGGAAAGATAGATGGCAGACGGAATAAGTATTAAAATCGCTTATATAACATCAAAGTTGTCAGAGAGCCCGTGCAGACCCACACGTCAGTTTTCAATCGTAAGGCTTCAGTACAAAGTTTAATATAGTGCATATCCATTGTCATAAGACGAATGATTAGCAGAGAGATGGCCTCGAAAATGATAAGTCTTCGTATTGAAAAATCAAAAAAATAGTGTTATTATTGATTTTAAACGAATGAAAAAATATTACTATTTATTAACAAATAAATTTATAACATTGAAAGCCGTATTAACAAATCGAATAGGTATTGATATTTATTATCTATGCTTAGTAATCTTAATAATTATGAAAAGAAAATTGAATTTCACTGATATTGTTCAATATGGTTGACTTCTTATTAACTCTTTATTATAAACGTGTATTTTATTTATTGCTCCATCTTGAGTTGAGGTTAGCAGATTGATTTCGTTAAGATTATGGAATCTATTTGTTTTAACTCACCCTCAGTAGAGAATAGACTACTTTTTTATGACATTTAAAAGTAATTTGCTACTAAGTTATGGCGTCATTTAATTTTTTCATAGTGTCTTTTAACAAAATAAAATAATTTTATTTAAAAAAAGCTTCACATCATCAGATATTTTATCTTACTTGTTACTTATCTAATGTGTACTTATCATATCGTTGCTTTGTGTTGCTCTTACCTTGTAGCTATTTCGTATATAAGTCATTTTTTATTCTAACACGATACAATGTGGTCAACATTCGTATGGTCCTTTGTCTACATAACAATAGTCAGTAGTTTATTTTTATCAAAACATAAATCTCTGGCTGCGAATACTCGTTTGGGATTATCGACAAGTATCCCAGATATCGAATATGAACAGGTCATTGCTAAACGTTACCTATTTGCGCCATTTGCCAATGAATCTACTGCTTGGCCAGTACTTACTAATATTCACAATGTATATCAAGTTGTTTCATTGCCACAATATTATGCTCAAGCTGCCGAAGGATTTTGGTTATTGGCTCAAAGTACTAATTCAACAATTGAAACACCACACATGTCTTGGATGTCTGTGTCTGACAACAATACTTCGATAGTTTTGTCCAAGATTGACATTAAGAGCTTTTTAGTTGTTTCACACAATAAAACTACTGCTATGATTTATACAGCTGCTGTCATCTCCTTAGAACGTATACAATTAATTTTATGCAATCAATCGGATGCAACTTCTTGTAGAATTATAAAAAGCATTGCGTTTCCTTCTGTCCTAGTGAATATTTCAAATATTACAGCCGGTTTGTTTATAGATGATCTGGGAACAGCAGGATGGTTATATATTGCTACTGATATTGGATTGCATGGTTTAGATCTTTCAACATTCATTATTCATCCCTATATTAATGAAATTAATGAAACTGTTTCTAGTTTAGCATGGAGTTCACAGCATAAGACAGTTTTTATTGGCACAGAAACAAAACTCTGGATTCATTCATATGATAGTGATGATGAAGAATGGCGTCTTGAGCTTATCCTTGGACTGATTGATGCACCTATCACTTCATTAGTATATAGTGCTGGACAAGACAAATTATATATCGGACAAAACACTGGCATTACTCTTCTTTCACCAGTTATTATGTCGACCGGACGTGTACATTGGTTTTTTTCTAGATTAGCAGGACAAATTTCCAATCCCGGATCAGATATTGGACATTTACCATTTGCTAATATTACTACTTTAGGTGTGAGCCATTCGACATTACCTGACAGTCGAGTATGGTTAGGTTCTATTCGTGGAATGATGCGCTTTGATTCCAATGATACTGACATAAATAATGCTTGGCGTATATTTAATAGTGCTCGATACATGCCTCATCGTGATTCATTCGTCAATATAGTTTCATTGGCTGTACTGAGTCGTGACAGTAAGGCTACTACGGCATTGGGTAGTACTGCAGTAGCAGTTACTAGTAAAGGCTTAGCTGTTCTTCGATTTGAGATGTGGACGTTGGCACAAAAAGCAAAGCATTTTCAAGAATTCTTTAATCAAACAGGTAGACATGACAGATATAATTTGGTATCAGGTTGTAGTATGTCATCATGGGGAGATAGTCGTACGTGTGTTAAAGGACCTGATGATAATGATGGTCTGTGGACTTCGATGTATTTAAGTAGTCAAATCTTTCGCTATAGAGTAACTCAAGATGAAACAGTAAAAGCATCTGCTTGGACTCATTTTGAAGCATTGGAACTGCTTAATAAGGTTACTGGTATTTCTGGTTATCCTGCTCGTTCAATTGCAAAACGCACTGATTCTCCTTTTAATTTTCAATGGTTCGTATCTCCTGTTTATCCGACTCTTCAATACGAAGGTGATACCTCATCTGATGAGGCTGTTGGACATGAATTTGTTTATCCATTAGTACATGATTTATTGGCTAGTAATGAAGATGAACGTGACAGAGCTTACACCTTGCTCTTCAATCTCACTAATCATATTTTAACTCATGACTGGTATTTGGAAGGTTTGAATGGCACTCAGAGAGGTGTCTGGAATCCATTAGATATAAATTATGATGTTGATTATGCAGATGAGCGAGGTCTTGGAAGTCTCGAAATATTGACTATTTTACTTTCAACTTATGCTTTCATTGGTGATGAACGTTTTCTTAATGCTACTAAACTTCTTATTGAAACCTATCATTATGATGTTAATATGGTTAATCAAAAGACGATTGCAGTTTGCCAGTTTAAGTTTTGGAATGATGAACTAGCTTATTTATCCTATTTTAATTTAGTTTATGCAATTAACAAACTTAGTTCAACGCCTACTCTATCTACAACACAAAAGGAACGTGCACTATTAGTTATCGATAATATATTGGAGTATATGACGATTGGCTTAGAACTATCGCATAAGTACAAACAAATGGACAAATCGCCATTCTATAACTTCATCTATTGTTATGTTAGTGGTCAGGTTAATCAAACTCAACATCTATTCAATAAAACTCGTAGATCTTCTCCTCAATTCGACTGCAATTCTTTGTCAAAAGATGGGATATGGTATATGCAACGTTGGCCATTGGAACTTATCAATTGGCCACAATTCAATAGTGATCGATTGGATGTCCAACTTAATGTACCTGGTGAATGTGATTTTGAGAGAGTACATCGTTCCTTAAAGATGTTACCTCCTGACGAACGAACCATTGATATATGGAACTATAACGTCTACGATTTGGATGGTGGTAATGGATTGTTGGAAACAGATCCAACTGCTTTCTTAATAAGTTATTGGGGAATGCGTTATTTTAATTTACTAGGAGAATGATAATTTTCTAGTATGTATCACTACTGACACTATTGATTGTGATTCATTTATATCTTTTATTTGAAATTTTTTTTTTTAATTGATTATTAACGATTCATCCAATATGAAATACATAATCTTGAGGGTGGGTGTGGGTATGAGTTAAGCGGATAAACTCTCGCTTTCATCATCTTGTCGTCAGCTGTTGGTGTACGAAAACATAATAATTAAAGTGTTTCAATTGATCTCTTTTTAATTTTTATCAAGAATGATCGTAGAAATAGTTCTACATCAATTTTATTTAATAAGTGGATAAAGTATAATAAAAATTTCATTTTCAATATTAAGATGATCAATTTTCATAACAGGTAATGCATAATTCATAAAATCTTTGTGGAGATATAGTAAATAGATTAAGTTGCCAAGATTTTAATAATTGTTCACAAGTATTATATTCATCATACCATCGTTTTCTAAATAAAATAATTAACATTTGATGTATAAGATATTAAATTTGTCAACTGTTGAAAGTTATGTTTCGAGTTTGAATGATAATAAACGTGGTAAATGGATTACTTTAGGAAGAATTATATTAATTGTATCTGATTTCATATAACTTAAAACGAAATATTCCAGATGTTGATATAATAAATTAAAATCAAATGAGAAAATTATTTTTTGTTAGTTTCTATCCATGTTCATATATAAATTGAATAAATTTGATTTTTATTAAGAAGAAGAAATTTATTTAATTCATTCATTGCTTGTCCATCTTCTGTTGAATAATTAGTTTTAATTTTAAATCTAAGATATGGAGAATTAAGTAATTGTTGAAAATGCTTCATAAATATCACAACCATTTAAATAATCAAATATTTCATAGAAACATTCATTTGATAAATTTCCAATAAAAGTTATCGACATTCTTTGTTGTATATGATTAATTGACGATTATCTGCTTATTTCTTTTATTTTCTTTATGTATATAGAATGCTTTCGATAAATATAAATGAAAAAGAAATGTTAAAATAATGAAAACAGTAACAAGGAAATTATCGAAGAAGATGTAGTTTCATTTCTTTAATCTCTGTTGAATCAATTGATGAAATTTAAAATGATTGAAAATACAGTTTTTTATGATGTAAGATACTATCTAAGGTGAAAAAAAATATAAATTAATTGATATAATATTACATAGTTGTTTTTTTCGTTCTTATATATTTTTCTTGATCGAAATTGAGTAGTTTTGTCAGGTTTGATTTTATATTTCTCCTCATTAACGCAATTATACGTACATACTTTCTATTTGACTAAGAACATTTGGTATGTTTATTTCGATTTGAAGCATAAAAATGATCGAAAAATATCATTCATATTTTAGATTGTATAACTCAGTTTTTATTAAAAATACCATATGGATGAACAACATAAACTACAAGGTATACAAAGATTCACTATTTTCTGGTTAGTATTCAGCTCTATTTTTTCTAATATAGATACTTCTATTAATGAATATTCTCCTGTAAACCTCACTGATTATCGAGAAAAGATTGATCAAACCTTCTCTTTCTTGGTCACTGGTGAACTTCAAGGATCTATCTTTGGTACTAATATTTATACAGATGATTCAAATATTGCTGTTGCAGCTGTACATGCAGGTATTCTTTCAGTTGGAGAAAAAAAATCAATTGAAGTAAAAATTTTATCTGGACAATCAACTTATCAAGGTTCAACACAGAATGGAGTGACATCATCTTCATACGGAGCTTGGCCGGGAAGTTTCATGTTTATGACCGATGCGAATACTTCTTTGACAACTATAACAAATCTTTTGAATTATCGACATAAAGTAAATGAAGTAATTTCCGTTTCTGTAACAGGATTAATAGAAGGTCCTGTGTTTGGTACTAATATTTATACGGATGATTCAAATGTTGGTACTGCTGCTGTACATGCAGGTGTTCTTTCAATTGGAGAAACAAAACTAATTGAAGTGAAAATTTTACCTGGACAATCAAGTTATAAAGGTTCAACACAGAATGCAATAACATCGTCTTCATATGGTCCTTGGCCAGGAAGTTATGTCTTCATTGAAAATATTATCAGTTCTGTAGCAGAATCAATGGATCTTACTGGTTTTCGAGATAAAGTTGGGCATTCTTTGTATTTCTTAGTCACTGGAGATATTGGAGTACCTGTTTATGGTACTGATATTTATACAGATGATTCAAATATCAATGCTGCTGCAATACATGCTGGTGTCGTGAAGCTCGGAGAAGCCAAAGCTGTTATAGTGAATGTTTTACCTGGACAATTGAATTATCAAGGTTCGACAAAAAATGGAATCACTTCTTCTTCATATGGACAATGGCAAGGAAGCTTTAGATTTATCGATCATAATACTACGTCTACAGTAACTATTACAAATCTCATAGATTACCGTAGTAAAGTAAATCAAATATTATCTGTATCAGTGACTGGATCGCTAGGAGGTTCTATTTATGGCACAAAGATTTATACTGATGATTCTATTATTAATACTGCTGCTGTTCATGCTGGTATTGCTAATGTTGGCGAAACAAAAATCGTTGATATAAAGATTTTACCAGGTGAGACTAGTTATCAAGGTTCAACACAGAATGGAGTGACATCATCTTCATATGGAGCGTGGCCGGGAAGTTATACGTTTACGACTAATACTATCAATTGTGTTATGGGTCCAATCGATCTTATTAATTTTCGAGAGAAAATAAATCAATTACTTTCTTTCGTAGTCACTGGAAAGAACGAAGGTTCTATTTTCGGAACAGATATTTACACAGATGATTCAAATTTAGCTGTTGCTGCAGTACATAGTGGTATGGTAACACTTGGTGAAACTAAAGTTATCATCGTACAAGTTTTACCTGGAAAATCATCTCATCATGGTACTACACAAAATGATATAACTTCAACATCGTATGGTCATTGGATGGGAAGTTATTCAATTCTTAGTAGTATTCCTACATTTAAAATGGCTCTATCGAATCTTATTAATTATCGAGATAAAATTAATGAAATTTTATCTTTCACAGTTATCGGTACAACAGGTGGATCAGTATGGGGTACTGACATTTATTCTGATGATTCAAATATTGCTACTGCAGCTATACATGCAGGTCTTGTTAATGACAATGAAATGAAGACAGTCAATTTGAAAATTCTACCAGGACAAGCTAGTTATAATGGTAGTATTCGAAATGGAATTACTTCTCTTTCTTATGGTTCATGGGCAGGAAGTTTTGTATTTGTTGACAATACGACTGCCGGTGAAATGGCTTCTGAAAATGTAACTGATGATGGAAATAAAATGAAAGAAGAGTCATCTGAGTGAAAATTCATCATGGTCAAAAATCATCGCACTCACTCATAATCTAGAACGACATAACATTTTGATTAATAAATTCTCATAAGAGCAATAGTTATTCTTTTCTCCACTATATAATATCCTCAATTTTTTTCTAATATATATATAGCGTACGAAATAACTAACTAAGCGAAAGTGCAGTTTGTAGTTTCATTTTTTTGTCGAAGCATAGAAATAAAAATAGATTGAAAATTTTAAGTAAGCGTTTGCAATTAGGGTATACTGATACAACAACTGAGCCAGAGATAGTTTAAGAGTGTGGATATAATTGAACAAGTTTTATCACTCAATCATTGTGATATTGGTTTGAAATATTATCAACAAGCATTAATTCTGTATAAACAATATTTATCCTATTCATCGCGTCTTTTAGCAGATATAGATAAAGTAAAAAGTGAAGAGAAAAGTTGTCATGTTATTCTTATACATCATAAAAAATAATTTAAAAAATATAAATATTTTTTTTTATTCAAAACCAAAATATTTAATTTAATTAGCAAAAAAAACTAGCGAACTTCATTCGATTGATCGTATTCAAATAAGTTCTCTTAAGTCTCTTATTATGCAGTCCACGTCCATACTCTAACACTCTTTTATGTATATCCTTTTCTTTTTCTTCCTCCTATATCTAAGAAAGTTATTATATATCTGTTCTATATGCACTCAAATCATTATTGATTATCGAAACAAATAAAAAAAAGTAAAATATAATATTTGTTATACGAAGAGGTTGTACTCATGCAAAGTATGTAAAACGAAAGATCATTGAACAAAACTAGATTAGCAGTCAATATTCACATGGTATTTTTGTTATTATATACATTACTTTTTTTTTAGATGACAACAAGCACGTATTGTGATGGATTTCATCCATCATTGTCTCTTATATATTCTTGACTGAACATGTCTGCTGTGTATACACCTATATATCGGTCACTTTCTATTATTTTACCTTTTTTGTTGTTTCTATTTTCACTTTCTTTCTCGCCCGTTTCGCATCAATGACGATAGAAATAGATAGATAGTTGTTCATTGTTCGTTCGTTCATTCATTCATTCATTCAGTTAGATAAAGTGCGAACGATCAGTCATTCCGTTATACACATATCATCATGGTTGAAATATTTGCGGATCCATCAATAGATGTTAATTATTGGGCTCGATTTCTCATGCAATTTTTTATTATTCTTGTAATTGTTCGTGTTATGGGATGGTTTCTTTCATTAATAAAACAACCATCGGTAAGAAATAGATTTAATTAAATATTTAAATTCGATAACTTATATGTATGTATTTAAAGGTTATTGGTGAAATCATTGCTGGAATAATCGTTGGTCCATCGGTTTTAGGAAATATTAGTTTTTGGTCAAAACATATATTTCCGCCGTCATCATGGAATTATTTTACATTAGTTGGCAATGTTGGTCTTATTCTATTTATGTTCAATTTAGGTTTAGAACTTGATAAAGATAAAATAAAAAATGAATGGAAACGTTCTCTTTCAATAGCCATTGCAACTATCATTATACCATATGCAAGTGGTGCTGCATTATCTATCTATCTATATGATATTAACAATCGTGATGGATTTATAGCACCGGATCGAGCTGCATTTATGCTATTCATAGCATCAAGTATGTCATTTACTGCCTTTCCAGTACTTGCATCAATTCTTTCATCAAATAATCTAATACAATCACGAATTGGTACTGTAACAATTAGTTGTGCAGCTATAGATGATATTATGGGTTGGTGTTCATTAGCTATTGCTGGTGCTTTTGCTAAAGGATCAGGACTTGTTGGTTTATGGTAAGTGTAATAATAATAATAATAATACATATTCTATTCTAATATATATATAGGGTAGTATTAATTGCTATTGGTTATATTATATTTATGTTTACTATTGTTAAATGGTTATTAACACGTGCACATGACTTTTTAATCGAACGTGATGATGAAATGAATCCTTTACTTCTTATGGGAGTATTTCTTGTTTTGATTGCATCCGCTTTTTTCTGTGATATTCTTGGTATACATTCATTTTTTGGTGCATTCATTGCTGGTATTATCTGTCCGAAATCTGGAAAATTTAATGCTGAATTATTTCCAAAAATTGAATTAGTTACTGTTGAATTATTGCTTCCCTTATTTTTTGCTGCTAGTGGTATGAGAACAAGTTTAGGAACAATAAATGATACATTTTACGGTGGAATAACTGTACTTATTTTTATTATTGCTACATTAGCAAAGTTTTTACCAGCATTTTTTATGGCAAAAATTGTTACAAAAGAATCATGGAAATTTTCAGGAGCTGTTGGTATTTTAATGAATACACGAGGTTTAGTTGAACTTATTGCATTGAATATTGGTCTTCAACTTCACATTCTATCACCTCGTCTTTTTACTATGTTTATTATCATGGCAATTGTTACTACATTTATGACTTGTCCATTACTTTGGCTTGTTTATCTTCGAACTTATAAACCTGATGCATTAATTACTAATACACGCAATAATACAATCAATATTCCTATAAGATATCCTCTTCAACCACAACAAACTATTATACCCATAAATAATATATCGAATAATCATGTAAATATTATTGGAAGACATCATTATTGATTAATACCAACACAATCAAATGCTATTTAACATTATAATGAGATATTCACTTTTTTGAAATGTAACTTTATTAGGTTTTTTTTGTAAAATAAATAATACTTACACATTAAATTCTTCATATTCTACAGAGTGAGGATAGTGCATTTATCATAATCACACCTATACACCCTTTTTTAATAAAAAAATTAATTTAGTGTGATTGATATGATGCATTAAAAGGAAGTAGAGATGATTTAATTTATAGGTTTATGTATATCTACTAGTTGAAGTCAAAGAGCGAAAGGTAATGGTTATAATCATCAATTCATAGAACGATAATCTAATTATATATTGTAGTCCATTGTATACACGTATAAAACTATGACTTATTACCTACTCAAGGCTCGTATAAATCCTGTGTTCTACACTACAATCGTACAATGTGAGTTATGATCACATTCTCCAACATCAGCTCTATTCAAGTATTTTATCTTTTATTTTTCAAAAATTACAGATTGATAATTATTTCTTTATTTGTAACTTCATTTCTGCATGACTGACAATCACTTCAAATACGAGTTTTAATAAGAAAAATACTTTATTTAAATATGTTAATATATTTAAAAGAATTTTGTTCATTTCGCAGAAGTGCAGATTACCGAACTGTTACAAACTGAATTGATATAACCTGGACCCGGTAATGGAAAACAATTTTGTGTATAACGTCGACAACACCAGGTATTACATGTCCCATCTGATTCACAACTGTCGACGTTAAAAGAAGGTTTTTGTATGGGTATACAACCTTCCCCACGACAACAAGTGCATGTACAACAGCCATCACTATTTGCACTTTGGAACATCAGCACTACGAAGAAGATCATCATAAGAATCATGAGTAGACGCATTTCTAAAATAGATGTGCAAATTATCAAGAACTGTTGCTTTTAATGTGATATGTCTGATTCGCTAGCATAATTTTTAACGATGTATATACTATTCATATAATTCGTTTCTTTTGATATCAGTGTTCGCAAATATTTTTTATTTGAATACGACCTAAATATTTGTCAATATTATATTATAAATTCCAGGCAAACCGTATGAATATCTGATGTCAAACTTAACATAATATGCGATCGGAGTAATCGAATGCTGGATTCAAAAATGGAATGAATATAGATAAAATTCGTATTTTTTCAACTAACTGTAAATAAGGAAGTTTGATCTTTTTCAAACAATTCAAAAAATAATAGTCTTGAGGGTGAATGAGAATACTTGTAGTCCTTCTTCATACACTCACACGTATTTAACCAATAATATTAATGTTAACATAGATTATATACTGCATGTTATACACTGTGACATTGGTTGTTATTCATGTATTTCGATTGTATAGAATTTCGAATATTGAAACTGATTATATTGACTTTATAAATAAAAATCAAGGATATAGGTATTTCGTTGCTCTCAAAAACGTTCCCATCCTCGTCATAATGAAAAAAATTAGATGTGAATGTGAGATAAGTAACACCTACCCTATACCCATATCAATATCCTCATTCACACCCACAACCATTTGAATATCAGGATAGTTGTACTTGCAGATTCTTCTCTTGAAGAACGCGGTTCAGAAACTGGAAACAAAGAATTTTCTAATAGATCTCTAAAAACATTTATCTTTGAGACAGATTATTTTATTCATCACATAAGCGACTAAAAACATTTATAGCGAGAACAAAATATTTCGTATCGTCTTTGAAATGAGTACAGAAATAGAGTACATCATGTTTTCGATCAACTCTGATATAAATAGCATTTATATACTGTTCGTTCTGTTTAAATAATGAGTTGTAAACGTGTTCGAATTGTATTTCGATAAGCGGTAATTGTGGTGCGAAATTTTTGTTTGTATTCTACGGATGGTAAAACAAATATAGTAAAAGTAAGCATAGGTGGAACAAATGAGAGAAAATATCCGATAAGAAATAACCAAGAATCAGCATTTGTCTTCATACAACCTGCAGCAAACATAATGATTAAACGTGGTAAAGCGAGAATAAATAAAAGAAATGAAGAAATAAATAAACGTTTAAATTGTTTCAATTGTTCAATAATATGTTGTTTATAAGGTAGATCCTTTTGTAGAGTTGATCGACGACGAGCCGTTTTTAATATAATAACAATTGTTGAGATTATATTTATTATAAATGGAACACAACAATGAAAACTATTTAATATAATATTAAATTTTTCAGCAATTGATGAATAAGTAATAATACACCAGATTCGTTTTTCATCATTAACATCTGTATGAATTAAATTTCGATGAATCGGATCTATAATATTTGTACTAATAACCAATAGAAGAAGAATTATGATGATAAATTTCGCCCTTTTTATACTTTTTTTTTTATCAAAATTGTGTTCTTTGATTACAATAATAGTTCGTTCATATGCTACACAAGCATTTAACCATTGATCCATATTAAGAGCAATTCGTAAGAGAAAATCAATAGTATAACATTGAAATTGTAAGAATGAATGATTTGTTAGAAATATCATTTGTGAAATCAATAATATATGGAATTTGGTAAAAAATAATATCATAGTAAATAATGTTGTAATTGATGAACTTAAAAGATAAATTCCACAACCAGTTTTTCTTATATCTTTATGTTTAAATGTAATTAACGAACAAATTCCATCCATTAGACCTGTGAAAGTCATAAGAACTGTTAATATTAAACTTATGTGAACGATAATTGTTTGATCTTTAATATTGGCATATTGTTGAATATGATTACCTAAAATAGCATCAAGTGAAAGGCCATATCCATTTGTAGAGAATTGGCATTGTTCTCCATAGAAACATGTTGGACAAATACACATAACTGTTTGTGGACAATTAGTACTATCTTGCAGACATTGACCACTATTTTTACAAATATTTTTTTCTGAACAATCATGTTTTAATGTATGATTAAATTCAATACAATTAGCCATACGTTGGTTACCAAAATTCATGCATAAACATAAATAAGCATCATCATAAAAACATGATAATTGTAAGTTGCTGCATGGGACATGAAAATATTTAATACGACGAATAAGATGAAGTTTAGTAAATGTATCATTAAATATTTCACCAATATATGGACAACGATCAGATGATTTTAGTTGTTTTTCAATTATCGCTGATTGATTATAATTGCTTTCAAGAAAAGTTAAATAATAATTCTTAGGAAATAATTCAACAAAAATAATATGAAATATACGTGGCCAAAATATAATCACTGGTTTTCGTTTAATGGAAACCTTCTTAAATGTAACTCCTATTTCAGGTGGAGCATTATTTTGTTTTACTTCAATAAAATGAATTAACATAGTTTCAGGTAAACGTAAATCCTTATCAAATGATAAACTTATTTTATTTGATACGATTTCACATTTGTCTCCAAAAAATTCTTTTGGACAGATACATTCGAAATTTTTCGTAGATCTCAGAGATATGCATTGACCACCATTTTGACATTTAGTATTTTCTTGTTGACATATATCATCATGAAATAAACATCGAGGACCCCATCTATTTATTGGACAAATACAAATCGAACGATTATTTGATGAAATACCAATACATATTGAACCCGATGAACATTGACAGATATGAGGTATTGAACAATCTCTTCCATGCCAACCTTCATCACATTGACAAAATGTTGTATTATTTGGATCATTAAAATATTTAATACATTCACCATGAATACATTTTTTATTTGAATAACTTTTAGTATTATCAGTTATATATGGAATATTTAGTAAAACAGCAATACGTTGAATAGGTAAAAAGTTAAAAGGTACTGCTACTAATAAACTTCCTCGATAAGATAATGATAATTTTTCATAAACATCAATATGAATCGAATATTGTTCTGATTGATTTTTTGGTCGAGTTGAATAAAGTAAATACATATTAAATTTTGTTTGGCAATTTTTCATTGGAATATAAGTTATTTGTTCATAGGAATGAATTATTCGTTGATCACTATTATCAATAAGTGAGACAATAATAATAAATGGTATTCGCCAAGAATCATAAGATGCTTGAAATTTTATTGTAAGACTAACACGTTGATTTTGATACTGACACGTATCACCATAATAACTTGGTGGACAAAGACATGTACGATTGGTTAAATTTTCATCAATGTCTGACCAAACTCGTAAATCGAGACCTCGATGACAGCGTACCATTGATTCAAAAGCCATTTGAGAGATAGATACCATCTTGACATTGTCTTTTGTTACTGAGTTACTTGATTTTGTCATTTGATTTAGAGAGAAGTGCATAATTTTTGGCTGAGCACGAAGTATAAAAAGATTACATAAAAGTTGTTCCATATCAGATAGATTCGGTCTATGGTTTTCGCTACAGATTTCATCGACACGAGCAAAATCGAAGAATTCGGTACGGTTACAAAACATCTCAATTCCTTTGTTATCACAGACTTTTACTTCACTACAAATACTATAACGAGAAGCACAATGTCCTTTGTCATCAATCATACAATAAAATCCAGCTTCATTGATTGGATAAAGATCTTTACATAATTGTGGTTCATCCGTAGCACCCAAACAATCGATATGACCATTATTTCCTTTATCTTTAGCGAGACATATTAATTCCATTGTTTCAGATGAAAAACATACATGATTCTGTGGTGGACAGTTTATTAATGATGTTGGATAACAATCAACTTCATCAGCTCCATCAAAACAATTCCATAATCCGTTACAACGAGTATAACTATTATCACAAGACCATTGTTCACATTCTGTTTCGTCTGTTTCATTTCGTCCACTTATATCCAAGGGTTTCAAATCCATAATACCATTACAAATTGATGGAAATGATATATGTTCTCTAACATGCTTGATAAATAAAAATTCATCTTCGCACATCTGGTAGAATTCAACAGCGCAGTGACAAAAACCATCTCCAATCAACTTTCGAGACATGTACGTCTTTGTTTCAGAACAGTAGAAATGCGTTTGCGATTTCTTTATAGAAGAAAGATTATTGAACGTCAACCATTGTTCATCATCTTCATAATCACAATCATTTATACCATCTAAAAGACGATAGTTCGATATGCATTTCGATGAATTAATACATTTATACATAGTTGATTTATCACAAAATGTAGAATCATTTCGAAAAATTGTATTACATTTATATAATTCAACATGTACAGATGCGTAAAAGGCGTTGGTAATCAAATCTTGTATCAAAGAATCAGTACTTAATGGAAAATCTTTAGGATGAAGACAAATAGTATTGTTAAAAGGTAACGGTGTTCCACTTGTGACGAAACCACCACAAAGTTGTGGATCATAGCATATATATTCGGGTTCATTTGTCCATATTTTCTGTTCGACAATGTATTCTTTTGTGTAAGCAAAATAAATATGACCGTATATGACAGGAGTAGGTGGCATGAAAAACATGTCTGGACAGTTTTCTTCAATTATATCTTGATATGTATCATTTTGACATATTTCAGAGCACTCTGGATCAGAAGCGCTTGGGATTTTGAGATAACATTTCAATGTTGACCAGCAAATATCAGTCATTGAGTTTGGTGTATATGAAAACATCAATTCTTGCCAATATTTCAAGTGATTTTCAATCGAACACGAAGTTGTAAGACTTAAAGTATCGGACATATCAGATTCTCGACAGGCAAGATCATCGTTTGAAAATTTTGGTTCCGTCGAGACTTTGAGAAACCCATATGAAGAGATAATATATTCGTCAGATCTATCAAGGCAATCTGGAGCATAAGCATCATCGTTGTAAAATATAGCGGGTACGCATTGACCATTTGTACATCTATATTCATCATCTTTACATTCATTGACTTCCAGCTGCGAGCAATGTTCTTCATCGGTTCCATTAATACATTGAATAATATTATTACAAATATCACTCCAATCAACGCATAATGAAAATATACCAAAATTGCATTGTACATAAGTGTAACATGTAGGTAGAAACTGATTATGTGAGTAAGAATTATAATAATCAGAGAGAATCTCATTCAATGATTCGTGTTTAGGTTGATGCATATCTAATGAATATTGACACATAGGACCAAATCTTGGCAATGTACAATTATAGTACACCTGCATTGACAAAGATGTTTCATTTGAATTTTCTAGTTGATTCAAATAGAATTGATAATCTTCAACAATATCCATCGGTGCTGACCACATATATAATTGTTGACTAGTAACATTAAGGTTAGACAGGTCAGCAAAAGTAAAATTTTTATCAAAATTATTCATTTGTATATTCCATTTCGATGGCCATTCACTCATACAATATAAGATCATTTGATAAGGATCATTTTCAAATTCAGTCGATACAGCAACATGAAGACAATCATGTTGTAGTATATCATCATTTTCATTTATCCATTTTGTCAGATGAAGATTTATTTGGATTGGAATAACAACAGGCAAAAATAAGAATATAAAATAGAGTACAATTCGAAGAAATAACATTATCAGTTCAGTTTGATAAGAGATTAGAATTAAGATCGACTGAACTGTAACTGAAAAGATTTTTCTCTCATACGTACTCTGGTTATTACGTACAGCGACTGAAACAGAAAAATTGCGTTTATATGATGAATGGTTATTTGACGTACTTTTTTTCTGTGGAATGTAGATATCCCATCCATCATATATATATACAGAAAGAGAGAAAGAGATTTTTTTGTGAATATTATCTACGTGATAAAAGCTTAAATAAGTTTTTTTTAATAAGATTAAAATATCATGAAAAAGAAATATAAAAAAATACTCGTTTACCTATTATATTCTAAAAGTTTATTAATAGCAGTGATTTTAATTAATACTTCATTTTCATAAAAAAGTCTGAAGAGTAGGAATGCAGACAACAATCAATCATCTTTTCTCACACCCATACCCTCAAGATGGAGTATTATATGCAGACGTATGAATAAAAATAATTAAAATTTCTTACAAAATACTGATTTATGAAAAAATGAGAAGCAAATCATATGCAATACAAACACATCTTGATACTTATTATAACAATAGTTAATTTAGAACATAAGTTTTCCATTTCATATTATTATAAATATTATACAAGAAAACTTCATCTCATGAATAATAATTGAAAATATAAGACAACGAAAGAAATGTGAATATTGATTTTTTAGATTTGAACGAATTATGTTGAGTTTTTTAAATGAGATTCAAGGATATGGATATTTTGTTGTTCTCAAGAGCATTCACATCTTATTCATAATGAAAAAAATTAGATGTGAATGTAAGATAAATATAATGTGAGTGCTTGTATCAGATTTTTCTTTTGATACAACTCTCATACAGAGATTTTGTCTTACAAAATATTTAATTATTAAAAAGAAAAAAAATACATTTAAGAGTATGGGTATGGGCGTAGATGGGTGTACTGAAAACATTCCATCCACAGTCATGCTCAGATCCACTTATTGTTCAGTGGTGTATATGAGCGACTTCTGATCACCGGTTCATCTATTCATCATTACTTAAGGATAAATTCAATCCATTTGCCGAAGTAGACTAAGATCATCGACAAGTGTTGTTGATGGTGACTCCGTTCGAATCTGAGATGGATTTGAATATATTTTTCAAAATTTTTAGATTTTATATGAAACGCATTTTTAACAAAAATGCGTTTGAATGCAAGTCAAACTACGAACGCATTCAAACACGTTTCTAAAACCAATCGCGTCTTAGATGCATTTTGAGGCAAAAATTATTTATATGGGTGTATACCTTTCTTCTTTTCTCTGACAAAATTACTTACCTGCTCTTTTCGTTAATGAATAATCAAAACGATTCATGCATCAGTGAACATTATAGTCAAAGAGAGATAAATAGACGTACTTCTCAAATTTTTATTCAGTGTGTGTTACTTTCATTACGTTTCATAGGTAAGTAGTATATTCAATCATTTTTTTCTGACTCTAAACTTCTTTAATCATTATGTAATATTGACTATTATTGAACTATTTTTATTTAACATATGCTATTTAAATACTGAATATTTAATTAAGTGGATATACTTATGTGAACAAATTTTGTTTTGTATCTCAGTCGATAATCGTAATTGATATTAATAGACAAATATATGAAATAAAAGATGATTAACATAGCAGAAACGTTTTGTTTTTTTCTATTTAGTTGACTTACAACATGGAGACAACAAGATATTCTCCATTAACTAAGAAAAAATACCGAAACTTGTTCTTTCTCTGTGTTTTCATGATGGTGATACTTATCCCAATGCTATATCTTATAAGACTTGCAATCAAAGAATTTATGATAAATGCTCGCCAGAAAGATACACACAAAATGACTACCATATGTCATGTTAACGAATATTCTTATGAAATGGTACGTCGGAAATACCGCGAGACTTATTATGAACAGTTCAATGTTACCTATCGAATCTTCAACGGCTCTCGTATCACAAGCATGATTAAATCCCACCAGGGGTCTAGTCAAAGCCGTAATCGTTGGGTAAGATGTAGAATATCACTGATTTAAATGAATTAATGCTTTGTTTCTCAACAATTATGTCTCGCTGAAAACATTTGTTAACTGGAAGAGGAATTCACATTTATTTCTCTCTTTTTTGTCAATTTTTTTTGTTATGACGAAAAATATCAAAGGCAACGTTGAGTAGTTCCATATCTACACACTACCCATCACCATAAAATAGTTAAAAGAAACAAAATTGCGAGGCTGGAAGAGAATGTATAATTCTACATGAAATAGTGTTGCATTCTCTACTGAAAAACAATCCATTACGAGCAGAAAAGAATCAAAAATTCTCCCTATCATGTGAACATTCTTATCTTGACTTTTGATATTTCTTTTTCTTTGTTTAGATTGGCTCTACCGATAAATGCTGGTATAGTGAAACAAACATTATGTCAGTTATATGGAAATTCAACAGTCCAACTCTTGGCATTACATATCTTTGTCTTGGACTTGCGGGTTTGATACCGATCTTGGCAATCGGAATATATATGATTCAGCTTGAGTATCGTACTACAACGCAACAGAACTAAACAAACGATGAATCCAATAAACACTATAAATTTAGATGTGTGAAATAAAGTCATAGTATCTCTCTAACACACAAGGATCAAATACATCTCAAAAAGATGATATAAATGTCAATTGATCAATTACGTCGCTTAATTCTGTTTTATCTTTTCAGATGTATTCCACCCCATAGCTAGTAAAGGATGTAGGCTTGGGTGTAGAATCTATAGAGTATCCAAATTCGCAACCACACCTACTCACCCACACCCGCCTAATAAAATGCTCAATGAAATCGTGCACTGGAAGCATCAGCCAAATTATATCTGTCATCATTATGATGATTCGGAGTTGAATTGTTCATTTTTAAAACATCATCTGCTTTCCAGTGCTGTTAAGTACGCTCGAACTTAGTTCTTTTTGATACGTTTGAACCCATTAGAGAAGATTCTCAGGCATTTTTTCATTTCTGAATCGGAAATATATTAAAATGCAAGTCATAGAATAAGAATATTTGAAGTTAGTACAGCCGATTGTAGGATTTTAAAAATATGTCACGTAGTTTTTGTTCAAAATCTCAGTAGCACAAAACTTTTCGAATTCTATTCAGATAATATAGCGGAGAGAAACTCAAATCACAGAAGTTTCAATCAACATCCTCTCACTGATGATATTTAATTGATTAAAATTTATCTGAATAAGTCGATGTTTTATTTGATAATAATAATAGAATATACTCTATATTTATCGATTCAATTAAGAAGTACATCTATGAAGACAGAATCAACGACCACACTAAAAATCACTCGTTTTACTACCTACTTTGATAATAAAAATTTTCTATTGCAAAGCAGCAATACTCCACTAAGACATTGAAATAAGTGAGTGTGAGAAACGACACAGATTTTTTTTTCGAATCATTTTTTTCGTTTACTATTTGAATAGAGATAAGAGAATATGGCCCTGATAAAAAAATAATAGAAAGGAAAAGAAAAAGAAATGAACTGATGAAATCCTATTTCTTTATCTTTCTTCCATTTCAATTTCAGGCTATATCATACTTATTTTTTCTGTTTTGAATTGATCGATTCGCCAACAAATCAAGTTAAAAGCGAAGGAAAAAAAGTTCTATCTGTGGACTGAACAATTTTGAGGGTGTGAGTGTATCTAGTTTCTCTCACCCATATCCACACTCTCGAGATGATGATTATTTTGAACATTTAATAAAATATATCTAGAAATAAGTAGCTCTTTTGATATGATTACTTGACATTATCAACACCCTTGCTAGGTATTAAATATTATAATGTATTCTTTCTTATTTGAAATAATCTTATCTATGATTATCATGCTTGCATATAATCATATCTCGTTTTCTGTTTAATAAAAAGTTAATCAATATTAATAAGTTACGAAAGATTATTCTAACGATATATTTCAGTGTATCTACTCGAGTCATTTTAATTATAAAAATAAGAATCTTGTCTTATGACTAAGGCACTCGTAAACAAGAAAAAAAAGAAAATAGTTGTTGAAGTGGCGGAGACATTGCGTTCATCAATAACTCTACCGTTATTCATCTATACTCATAGCATCAAAAATTATTTTCAAAATGGTGAAACGGACATTATTTTTTATGTATTTGATTTTTATTGATTACAATAATAATTTGCATTTTAATTAGTGAAAATGATATCCGATCTATTATCAGAAATGTTTTTTATACGAAAGCCATCATTTTTTACCACTTTTTTATTCTCTGAGTGCTTTCAAGTAGTGGATATGTAAGTTAATTGAATGTGTTTTTAATCAATAAATGATTACTATAGATAATATTTTCAAAAAGATTTTTTAATACTTTGTGAAACGAAAAAAAGAAGATCTTTTTAGTTGTACGTTGTTAAACATAAAAATAATCATATAGATACATTTGAGATCACCCTCAAGATTTTGATTTAAAAATATAAATGTAATTTTCGTTACATGTGCAATGAAAATAAGTATCATCTACACTAACTCTTCAGTATATTGCTTGTTTTATCTGGAAGGTAAAAAAAATGATCTAGGCTTCAGTGCTCACTGCAGTAGGAGAATGAGAAAAAAACTGATGTGGACGATTTTTATTTATCCTCTGCATACTGTTTGATACTCGCTTCGTATATGATTAAAAAAAAAACTTGATATATACACTCTTTTATGTCGTCAATTCGGTTTGATTCGATAGAACGAAAGAAATATGATTTATACATCAGTGAACACTAAAAAAGATTTATATCTGAAGGTGTGCTTCTCATTCTTTTATTCAGTGTATTTTCGTATTTGTGCATAGTTGCAAATTACAGTATTCATTGTTTTTTTCTTTTACGTCGATCGCCATTTTGATCTTTTAAAAAGTAATTATCATCATAGTGTTCGTGACAGCCACCCCACACCCTCAATTAATTATTAAGAGAGACTTCAGTCTAGTTAATCGTTATTGAATATATCATTCTCTTTTATAAACAGGATGGGAACATTCAACGATAATGAAGTAAAAATAAGGAGAAAGAAAAGTACTAGAACGAGTCAACGTTTGGAAAATATCTCAGATGAAAAGGAAAAAAATAATACATATGTGGAGATCCTGCATAGTATTATTATTGCCAAATTTCGTTATTGCTCATTTAAATATAAGTCTTTTATATTTAGATAATTGCAATTTTAACGAAGCATCGTAACGTGAAAATCCATTAAAAATTTAACAGCTTCACAAAAATTAATGTTACCCTTTTGATCTTCAAAACGCGTTGAAAGTAGAAAAATCTAATACTGCGTAATATGTTTGCAATCTTTCATGCATGTTCTAACGTTTAAAGCACAAGTTTTTATAGTCAAAAAGATAACATTAATTTTTGTGACGTCGTTAAGTTTTTAACGAAGTTTCACATTACAAGGCTTCGTTAAAATTGCAATCATTTTTTCATTCTATTTATTCTGTCTCTTCAATAAATCAGTGATTTTGTACACAATTCGAAAACACAAATCGGTTCAATATGACCATATCAACAATTTTCCATAATATTTATCATTTTTATTTTAATTATCATCAATATGATATGAATTCAATCATATCTACTTCAATATTTTCTCGACGTATTCAATTTGCTGTTCGAATGACAGTTTCATTTCTTGTTGGTGGTTTTCTTGCTTATGGAACTCCATTAAAAGATCATTTAGAACTACAGTATTTAATTTTTCTTATGTCTATGTTATCGATACAAGAAACATTCGGAATGACACTATTTGTTAGTTATCAAATGTTGACAGCCATTACACCTATATCAATTTTTCTCTATATAGTTCAAAGAATTGGTCTTGGATATAAAGATTATCTTGTAGGTGAACTTATTCTACTTATTTCATCATTATTTGTTTCATATAAATGTTCACAAGTAAATCTTCATGAATATTAAATTAAAAAAGTTTTTTGATAAATCTATTTATAGGTTCTAACCAGAAAAATTGCTTTATTATTTATTGTTGTGTTTTTTTCAACAATTATTAATCAAGATAATCTTCCATCAACGTTTGTTTTTATTTTACTTGAAAGATTTGTTATTGGAATGGCTGTTTCTGTAATTGTATCTCTTCTCGTTTTTCCTCTTTTTGCAACATTTGATATTGAAAATCGTGTTAAGTATTGTCTTAAAAATTTACAACAAATGCAAACAATAATTATAAAAGCATTTTTATGTGAAGATCAAATGAGTGCACAAGTATCATTAGCTCAAGCATCAACTATCGAACAAATGATACGTACGACAATGAATTTGATAACTACAAGACTTGTAGAAGCTACTATAGAGCCATCACGATGTTTACAACGAATTTTTAATCGACGACATCGACATCTCATTGATCTAACTATACAAGGTATGTATGGTTTTGTAAATAAAATTCAACTTCTTATTTTTATTTTATAGAACAAGAAGATTTTATTACTTCATTGATGTTTCATACAAGTTCACTTCAATTAATGGTTAAACAATGTCGATTCAATGAATATCATACTCATTATACAAGAGAACTTCGTGCAACTCTTCTTCATCTTGATTTATGTCAAACAACAGTTATTTCAAGTTTATTATCATCTTCAACAATTAATCGAGATGAATTTAATGGTCGTCTAGCAAATTTACAACAAGCTATGGATACACTTCGTGAAGTTTCAATTAAAGCTCGTCTTCATCAAGTTGAACATGTATTAGAATCTGGATTAATAATTCGATCAGAAGATTTTCTCTCACATGCTTTTTTCCTTTTTCAAATAGCTGCTATTGTACGAATTTTAATGCGTGTAACAACAGTTGATGAAAATAGAAGCTTTTTTCAAGAAATTAAAGATAGAAGAAAAACGAAACAAAAGCAGAAAAGAAAAACTTTATTAGAATGGGTAAAACCACAATGGCCACAATTTCTATCAGCTTTTAAAAGTATGGTTATTATTGGAGTTGGTTCAATTTTTGTAATGGTACCTCGTTTAGCAAAAGTATTCGAAAATGGACAATGGATTTTCATTGCTCTTTGTATGACACAAGGCGATACAGTAGGTGGTGCATTAACAACAATGAAAATGAGATTAATTGGAACTTTATTTGGTAAGTTATTCTCATAATAACTATGTATTATTTAAATATTAATTTTTATTATATATAGGTGCAATGTGGGCTTATATAACCTATTTAGCAGTTTCTGATAATGTTTACCATACATTTGGAATGTTAGTACCATGGATACTTTTTTTTGGTTATTTAAAATCATTACCTCAATGGGGTTATGCTGCTACAGTTGCTTGTTTTACTCCAGTTATAATTACTCTCGGTCGAATACCATACGGAGATACACTACCAGCTGGTAATTATGCACTTCTTCGAATAGAAGAAAATCTTGTTGGTATTGCAGTTGCTATAGTTCTGACTATTATCATTTTTCCAGTATTTGCTATTGATGTATTGAAAAATAATATTGAAAGTAATTTAAATTTGTATTTATTGAATATTATTTTTATATTTCTATTATATAATTAGCTACTCTTCAACTCTGTCGACAATGTGTTAATACAATGCATGCAATCTATGATAAATTATTTCAAAATGAACAATTAGATGTAACTACGGTTACCATAGAGAAACAAACTGATCAAGAAATAACATCATTCATTGATGCACAACGTAGTCGTTTTCATCAACTAATTAGTGGTCAACGTTCTCTTATTGGAAATACTTCTCTCGAACCTTCTTTCTGGTGGTTTAAAAATAGTTTCGCTTCTGATCGTTATAGTATGTTAGCAGAACAGCAAACTGATATGTTTCGAATGTTACATAATATTGATGCAATAGTAAGTCTACAAAAACTTTCTCAATCATCTATTTCATATAATATTATTTAGTTACTGCGTATCTATGAATGTTCAAATACGAGTGAAAATCATATTAAAACTCTGCAATTGTATGCTGATGGTGGTTTTCTTCCTATTGGTCTTCATAATGAACTTCGTAATTTAAGTCGACAATTAAGTGATTGTATTGATCTATGGTCATCATATTTTACTTTAACACAAACACGTTTCTTTCGAATATTTCGTAATTGTAGTTTAACATATACAAAATTAAATGAAAGTGATCTTTTGAAACATAAACAATGCCTTGTTGAACTTCATCAAACTGTTTATCGACTACAAAATCAACATCAAGAATCAGTTAATCGATTATTCGATCATTATCACGATTGCTTAACTCAAGGTGAATCACTTTCAGACTTTGTACCTTATGCTGACAATAATAATGTATATATAATCTTTATTGGTATAGCAGCTTTGTACTATTCAACAACTCAACTTGCTCGAAATGCACTAGCTTTAGGTACAAATATTCATACAATCTTCGAACTGGAGACAACAAGTCTTTATCGACCTTTCTAAATTTGTTTTCTACTAAATATATTTATATTATGAACAATAATAATAAAGCATCTTATACGTCCCCGTCCTTTATGTAACCCTATTCACAAAACAGCTGTAATTAAAAATACAAAAACAAATCCCTGTTGTCATTCTATGTACATTGTGACGAGTCTAATAAAATACCCGCTTAAAGCTATGACTGTTGTAATTTCGTAAGAAATTCTGCATTATTATTTGTGCTTATCTTGAGCAAATAATATGTCATGATGCAGGGTAAAAACACAAAAAATCTCTATATAAATCATCGCTGACTTTCTTTTCTTTTCACTGGCGTTTCATTTTCCTTCTAACATGGGTCATACACAACAAACAGCTTGTAAATCAATCGGTGATAGAACAACTCGTCGAACTGCTGCCTATCAAGCGTACGCTCTGCAACGACAAGCTGAAGCTCAAGAACAAGGGCGAGAAGAATTAACGGAAGATGAACTTGCAGCCGCAGCACCGGTCGATGTCATTTATGATGTCAGTTATGAAAGTTCATTTTATGCTCATTATTTTACTGCTCAAGCAACGACAACAGACATGTTAATACCATTATTTGGTGTTGCTACAACGATTAATCCATTGGAAAATGGCGATCAAAATGTTGAACATTGGCTCAGTGTAAATTTGAACAGTCGCTTCGATGGTCCAGGTATTCGTTCAAATAATGTTCGACTCGAACTTGTTATAACACTTGATGTATCCGGTTCGATGTCCGGTCGATTCGAAGGTGAACCAGGTAAAACAAAAATTCAAATTGCTCAACAATCTTTATTAACACTTCTCAAACAACTTTCACCTGATGATGCACTCGGTATTGTACTTTTTAACAGTACTGCAACAGTTTTACATCCCATCGAAAAAGTATCGTCAATCAATAAAGAACAATTGAAAGAAGATATTTTAAAACTACGTGCTTCTGGTGGAACGAATATTACTAAAGCAGTGAAATGAGCAACTGATCTTTATCATACACGAGAGAAGAATAAAGATAATAATCGCAATATCAGTCGCCGAATTTTTTTCCTCACCGATATGAAAGTATCACATGGAGATGGACAAGAATTTTTAAAACATATTAAAGATAATGCAGAAAAAGAAAGAATCTGGTCGACTATTGTTGGTGTTGGTCTTGATTTAGGAGCAGAAGTGATTCAATCAGTATCGAAGACGATTGGTTGCAATTATTGTAATGTTCGAAATGCTCGAACGTTTGATCAATTAATGAATACACAATTTCATTATACAGTTACACCAGTTGCATTTAATATTGAATTTCTAGTAATGGGAGAACGTTATCGAATTGGACAAGGTTATGGTTCACCTGAAGTCTATAAATTCGAAGATCAAATAACTCCTCGTCAATCAATAAAATTAGTTAGTGAATTTGCATTGCCAATGAATAATCAAAATGAAGTACGTGGTGGATATCTTTTATTTCAAATAATTGATTTAAAAAAAGATCAAAATGATCAATCATTTCGAATAAATACATCATGGGATACTCTCGAAGGTATAACACAAAGCAATGAACAGGACTTACAATTTTCGAAACAAATCGATTTATTTACTCATTCGGGAATACGCAAAGCTATTTTACTTGTACGTTATACAAAATTTATTAAACGTTATTTGAAAGTACGTCAAGCATCAGCTACACCTGATATTATGGATGAATATCAAACAATGCGTCGACAATTTCCACGTTTAGTCGAATATTTTCAACAAGAAATGCTCGTTCTCAATGATCAATCCTTATATGAAGAAGAATATCGACATTTATTAGATATTGCTCAAAGAGATGATATTCCTTTGAATCAATATCTTCGTCAACCACAAACAATAACTGCACGAACAACGAATACAGCAACTTCAACTATGGCTACTACCACTGGAGATAGATGTTGTATTTGTTTAACAAACAAGAGTTCAGTGATTTTATTCTCATGTGGTCATAAATGTTTATGCAATGATTGTGCTGATCAACAACAAGAACAATTAACGAGATGTCCATTATGTCGACAGGATGTA